AAAACTATGTACAAAGTGCTTCAATCTACTGCTCTTGCTAGGCATTATATATTCTATTTCATTATTTTTCTTCATATGCAAGATGTGTTTTTACAGATGTCGTTAACTGTAGTAAGGGTCAAGAGGAACAGAGACATACTTGGTGAAGTATGGCACTTTCCAAGTTCTAGGCATCCACATCTAGTGTTAAGAGAGCCTCTACCCCTAGATTCAGTGTCAACACTGATTTCCATTTTTGTTTTCCTCTATGAATACACATGGTTCTGAGTATTAGCTTTACCAGCAATCCAATATTTATCTGAGAATGGCTGATTAGGAGCTGTGGTTGTTTTTGAGTAGGAAGTATAAGAGGGAAGAGGAAGGAGAAAAGGTATGATTTTCCTCACCTATTCAGCATACCGAAATCATGTCTTTGGTAGTACTTAAAAATGCTCTTTGAACAACTCTGGCAACCTCAACTAAGCCAGAGATAGGACTTCCAATGGTACTGTAATTGTAAGTTTGTCATTGCTAACAATAGATAAGGTCATGAATAGCTATGTACCAGGAAGAAAGAACTGCAATGTAAGGATGCTAAAATAAATAAATAAATAAATACTCAAATACACTGGAATTAGGGACAAACTTTGCTTCTGGTAAGGGTCGAGAGGCCCTGGGGACAAAACACTGAGGAGCTAGTGATCACATAGAGGTCTGATATCAAAATATCATAGTTGGTTAAAATTAGACAGGTAGCTGAGAAGAAACACAGAAACACAATGATACTGAAAATGAAGCCCAGGGACCTTCACTAGAACCCTGTATCAGGACTTCCAGAAATGGTTAGCAGAGACACCCCGCAGCAGTGACAGGACAGATGTCACCACTGGTGATTCTCACAGATTCTTTTTGCCAGTATAATCTTTCACTCTGCATCACGCAAGACCACACAGTCGTTCCAATCCAAACACTCCCCACCCAAGTTTGCTGGTTGAATAAGAAGAGATGGCATGTGTGCTTGCAAAGCTACTATGCATGCTTCTATAGGCCCCTGCCTTACTCCATGGAGCTGTGGCATCAAGTGTCCCAGAAAGAGTTGGGCCACAGGAGACCTAACTTGTTACATTTCAAGTTCTTTGAAATGTACATTTCAAGTTCTTTGATGACCATTTCCTTATTTAACATAAATGAAGGGTCTAGGAAAAATGTTGTTGATACTTCTAAAAGGTATGTATAGGGCTGACAAGGTGGCTCAACGGTAGAGTGCTTGCCTTGCATGCATGAGGCCCTGGGTTTGATTCCTCAGCACCACATAAGCAGAAAAAGCCAGAAGTGGCCCTATGGCTCAAGTGGTAGAGCGCTAGCCTTGAGCTGAAGAGTTGAGGGACAGTGCCCAGGCCCAGAGTTCAGGCCCACGAGCGACCAAAAAAAAAAAAAAAGCATGTATAGATGAGAGATTAGAATTGGTTTAAAAATGGAATTCAGAGTAAGATTATTTTATATACAAAGTTTAGCTATTTTGAGATCTATCCTGTAAACGCTTTCCTAGCACATCCAAGTATAGATAATCACAGAGGTACCACACTTACATATTTGCCTTTTTATTTCACAAAAATCTGTATTCTATTTTTCATACTCTATTTTGGCATTACTAGGATTTGAACTCAGGGCTTTGTGTTTGCTCAGCTGGCCTTCTACAACTTCAGCATTCTTCAGCCCAGCTTTTTTCTAGTTGTTCTGAAGATGGAGTCTCTAGGACTTAAGCTGGACTTGAGACCCTCCAGATCCCAGGCTCCTGAGTAGCTAGGATGACAGGTGTGAGCCACTGATGCACAGGTTTTATATTGCATATTTTTAAACACTGTTACAAGCATTTGGTACTCTCCAAATATGGCCAGTGCTGACAAGCACTGACCTAAGAGGAAATATTCATGTCACCATTTAGATTTTTGGAGCATATAAAATTATTTAAAGTTATTACCAGGTTAATAACTAGTGACAAGATTTTCCAACTCTTTTTCAGAGATTATCAAAAGCTGGGTGCCAGTGGTTCATGCCTATAATTCTAGTTACAGGAGGCTGAGCTATGAGGATCTTGGTTCAAAGCTAGCCCAGGAAGGAAAGGCTGTGAAACTCATCTCTAGTTAATCACCAAAAGCCAGGAATGGAGGTGTGGCTCAAGTGACAGAGTGCTAGCCTTGAGTAAAATGCTCAGGGGCAGTGCACAGGCCCTGAGTTCAAGCTCCAGGACTGGCAACAAGAACAACAAAAACAAGACATATACTATATAAATGTGTATTTTAAGTTAGTGAATTCACTACTTATTCTTAAATCTAGAAAAAAATGTCTACCTAGAGGTGTGAAAGTTGATTTTGAGGTTCTGGGAAATAGTAACCAGGATCACAGGATAGGTTTTCCTGATACTGGGCTAGCCCTGACTGACTACCATTCTCTCTTACAGCCATTACTGGCACCCAGGCAATAAATACAGACCCAGCAAGCTGTTAAGCAGAGCCTGTGGAGCTCTATACCCTGGGAGTGAGCAGGTGTCCTCCTACCAGGACTGAATCTTGTCAATGAACATTTCTAGAACACACTTACTTTGGATAATTTCATATTTTTAATTTCTAAAATTTTCTTAAAATTTACAATAATCACAGGTGACAGTTAAGAAATATGCAAATGTACCTATGAGACTATTAGAATTTTCAGATTCTAATATTAGAATCTTTTATTTGTATCTGTGAGTTTGTGAAAATAACTTGAAACAACCCAGTTTCCACAAAGCCAATCAACCAACTAGACAGAACTCAAGTGCAGAAATGAGTAAGATAGAGCAATCTGGACATCAGATGGCTTGGATCAGGTTTTAGACAATGGAATAGATTAGAAGGAAAAAAGATTCAAATGACACTGGAAAAAGTGACCAAAAATGAGAGTGAGGTTGGCAAGGATGAATCAGTTGAGGAAAATTTCTATTTGTTGTCTATGGGACACTGAGAATGTTTCTCAGATGTTAGACAACAGAAGGTATGATGACCTACTTTTCTATTTTAGAACATTTATTCATTTTCTAATGATAATAGTATTTATTTTTTATTATAAAAATTAAAGGTTAAGACATCATCCATAGTTATATCAACAGAGTTTATCATTAATTGGGTACATTTGTGTTGGGTATTTTTAAAAATTACTTTCCTTCTTTGTGCTTATACGTATACTGATTGTGAATTTTTATATTTGCTTTTTTATTTCACAGAATATGTATTTTATAGTCTATATTTATTTTGGCACTATTGGGATTTGAACTCATGGCTTCATGCTTGTTCAGCTTGCTTTCTACTACTTATGCCATGCCTTCAGCCCAGCTTTTCTCTGTTTTGGAAATTGCCACGCCGACCCCAGTAGAGTCTGCTTAGCATGGGAAACCATCTATCAGACCATGATAGGGGCTTCGAGACCTATCTCTGAGTTTTGGGACTTCACCGAAGTCTACCTCAGAGAATGGGGCTTTACAGAAACCTATATCCAAGTTTTGGGACTTCACCGAAGTCTACCTCGGAGAATAGGGCTTCTAAGAGGCCTACTCCTGGGAAAAGGCTGGAAAAACCCCTGGGAAAAGATGTGTTTCTGCCTTTCTTCACTGCATAAGAGTGCCTATTAATCTTTTATTGCTTCTACTGCTCTTTGTACTTGCTCATTGTCAACGTTCCCTTATTCAAAGCCCTTTCTTAAGAGTGTTGACGACTCCAATATCTGATGAGTGTCTTAAAAATATGACTAACTCACCAGAGTTAAGTGCTACCCTGAAACACCTCTCATGGAGGCTAGTAGATAAGTTTTAAGTATAACTTATAAATATAAAAGTATTGGGGGTTTCACAAAGTCACTTCAGCAGAAGGAATTGTTTGTAAGGGACTTACAAGAAGCTGTAGGCTCAGCTAGAACAGAAAGAATGTATGGCAATTGCTGAGATAATTACTTAGGAGAAAGAATTTCCTGCTATTTACTAAGAGAATTGCTAGACCTAGAGAATTGCTAGACCCAGGTCTCCTTGAGGTTTACTATTAAAGAAGAAACAGGAAAGATCTATTTGGGAAAGTTAAGGCCTCTGTAAAGATAGGTAATGGTTAATTGGTGACAAACATCGTAATCGTTTTATTTCTTAGAGATAAGCCGGAAACAAGTGCCTATCAGGAGATCAGCTGGTGACCACCTAAAAATGAAGCCATGCAGCAAGATTGTGTAACCTTTTGCCCCTTTCTTATGAAGACTTCTGTTATAAAAGTTTGTTATCCTCTGCATTAAATCGCACTCAGCACTCAGCATCCATTCCTAATGTGTGTGAGTTGTCTGTTTGCCATCTCCCCATCCTATTCCAGGTTCCTCCCTTAGGTGTCCTCCGTCGTCCCGACAGAACCCGGTCCGCGGCAGGAAATGGCATCTCTAACACTTTTCTGCCCTAGCTGATCTTGAATGGACTATCTTCCAGATCTCTGGTGCCTGAGTATGTAGGATTACAGGTGTGAGCCACTGGTGCCCATACTCTATATGTCAGCCTGTTTGTGTAGTTTAGAATTATTTCCTAAAACTAGACTCTAAAAGTAGAATTGCTGAAGCTCCCAAACTGCTAAATTGCTCTTTTTTTTTTTTTTTTTTTTTGGTCTTGGGGCTTGAACTCAGGGCCTAAGCAAGTTCCCTGACGTTTTGCTCAAAGCTAGTGCTCTACCACTTGAGCCACAGTGCTACTTTTGGCTTTTTCTGGGTAGTTTATTGGAGATAAGAGTCTCTGCCAGGGCTAGCTTTGAACTATGATCCTCTGATCTTAGCCTCCTGAGTAGCTAGGATTACAGGTATGAACAACTGGTACCTGGCTTCCACAAAATTCTTATAGATTTATTCTCATATTACCTACCATGGATAAAAATGCCATTTTATCATATTCTTGCCAGCACTGAGAAACTTATGCACAGACAAGTATATATGTTTAAACTCTAACTCAATAATTTATTTCTACTTAGTCCTAGATCAGACTTCTATAAAAGACAGCATGAAGGAATATGTGCTCCTACTGCTCTTGGCTGTATGCTCTGCCAAACCTTTCTTCAGCCCTTCGCATATGTCATTGAAGAATATGATGCTGAAGGACATGGAAGATGCAGATGATGATGATGATGATGACGACAGTGATGATAACTCTCTTTTTCCAACGAAAGAGCCAGTAAACCCCTTTTTCCCATTTGATCTGTTTCCAACATGTCCGTTTGGATGCCAATGTTACTCACGAGTTGTGCACTGTTCTGATCTAGGTAAAAACATAAATCAACTTCTTTTTGAAGAATAATACTGTTCTGACAAAATTAAAAGGACAGAAAAAAAGATGAAGACTAGTTGCTCATTCCTGTAATCCTAGCTAATTGCGACGATGAGTTTATTGGGATTGTGGTTCATGATCAGTATCTACTTATGTAAATTTTCTGGATTAGTTTTTTTCATAAGTGTGACAGAATATGTGATATAAAGAATTTAAGGAGGAAGAATTGATTTTGGCTTTTGGTTTCAGAGGTTTAAATCACTCCAGAGGTAGCAGAGTAGCTCACCTCATTGTTATCAGAGACAAAGAGAAGAGAAGAGAAAGAAGGGGAGAGAGAGGGGGGAGAAAAAGGAGGGGGGGGAGAGAGAAAGGAGAGAAGAGAAAGAGAGAAAGGAGCTGGTGTTCCCCTTTATCCCATTTTATTCCATTCAGGCCCACAATAAGATGGTGCAACCCACATTTTGGGCGATTTTTTTCCCCACTCAGTCTTTTCTAGAAACACTCTCACAGACATACCCAAAGTTGTGCTTTACTAATCTTCTAGGTACATCTCAATTCAATCAAGATTAACTGTCCCAATTTACTTTTTACTGTTTTTGTGCGGGGTAGGATAAGAGGTGTTGTTACTGTGGTCGGAACCGAGGGCCTCAGATTTGCTAGGTAGGCACTCTACCACATGCCCCAGCCTGTTTTTGCCTTGGTTATGTGTGTATGCATGCATGTGCACGAGATGGTACTAAGCTTTGAACAGAGGGGGCTTGGGTGCTGTTCCTTAGCCTTTTCATTCAAAGCTGGCTTTCCACCACTTGAGCCACATCTCCTCTTCTGACTTTTTAGTGGCTAATTGAAGAGAGTCTCTTGAACACATTCCACCTGCTGCTTAGAGCAGGGATCAATGGAATGCATATCAAGAGTTGTACTCAGCTATTTTCAAAAGATGGGATACCTGCTCCACTGTGGAGGTCATTCATGCAGACCACTCTTTGAGCCATCTGAGAAGCTGGCAGATACATCTCACTTCCCCTAGTAGCATGATCAAGAAAAGGTCTATACACTTACTTGGTCACTCTTCCTTCCTCAAATAAAATAAAACTCCTTTCAGAGCCTTAACTTTATCAGGGACAAGGCAGGGTAGGTTTGGCAAAAATCGGTGTTATAAGAAGGATCCTTCCTGTAAAACTCCAGCTTCAAATAAGACTTCCATTTCATTGCCTAAGACCAAAATAATATCTTATTTTCATAAAGATGGCAAAATGAATCCATAGCAATAAACAAAATAGGCTCTACATTGCTATCTTACCAATGTAGAAAGCAATCTTTTCCCTTCCTATCTATGGTTAGATATCTTGAAAGTATTTTAAAGTATGGAAGGGAAAATACATAGTGCTATTAAGCAGAATACAGATGTTCAAAATATTTGGATATATGATGCCTTAACTTTTAAGTCTATTAAATTCACAACTATTCTGTAAAAATAGTTCTGCCAAAAGTGTGAAATATCTGATGTTCACTTAAAATGAATAAAAAGATAAATTGATAAACAGTAAAATTTAATATAGTAAAATGCTGATGTAGAAAGCAATGAGATATGGGTTTTCAAGTATAAAATTTTTACAGTTTTAAAAACTGTTATGTATCTCAGAATTTAAAAAAACAACAACAGTTGTAGTACCTACAAAGATGAATGGCAGCTAATGTGCTTTTGGTACCAGGATAGAAAAGAAATGAGTCAAATTACCTTGTCCTTGAATTACTGTGGGTAATGAAGAAAAGGTATAATCCACATTTACATGCTAATAAAGTTATGTAAGAATAAGAATTTATAGGGTTGGAAGTGTTGCTCAGTTGGTAGAGTACCAGCTAATGAACAAAAGTATCAGGTACCAAGTTTGAGTGCTGGACTCAGATTAAAAAAAAAAAAAGAATTTTTAAATCAAAGAATTTGCAAGTAATTAGCAGAGCTGATTATTTATAGCAAGTGAGTAGGAAAGTTTTTGATAATGTACATGAAAATAAATCAAATTTATATATTTTCTAAGTACAATTTTCTGTATTTTGAGTCTTCTTAAAAAAGTGATCAGGCTGGGAGCCTGTAATCCTAGCTACTCAGGAGGTTGAGATCTGAGGATCATGGTTCAAAGCCAACCTGGCAGGAAAGTCCATGAGACTTTATTTCTAATAAACCATTAGAAAACCAGAAGTGGCACTGTGGTTCAAGTGGTAGAGTGCTTGCCTTGAGCTGAAGAGCTCAGGGATAGCTCCCAGGCCCAGAGTTCAACCCTATGACCGACAAAAAAAGAAAAGAAAAAAAGTGATTAGGCTTGCCTAGTAAGTACAAGGCCCTGAGTTCGAATTCAAGTATCACTAAAAAGAAAAGGTCTTTTCCAAACAGTACTTTTGTCACCCATTACAACTAAGTCCTCTGCTACTTAATGATAATCATAGGTTTAAAAAATATGTATTTCTTTAAAAATATCAGTGATCTCATCTTCAACATCAATGTTTAATACTTATATAACATGTTTATTTCAGGTTTAACCTCAGTCCCTGGCAACATTCCATTTGATACTCGAATGATCGACCTTCAAAACAATAAAATTAAGGAAATCAAAGAAAATGATTTTAAAGGACTCACTTCACTTTATGTAAGAACATATGTTCATATTTTCAAATATTTAAGCGAAAGTACCATTGCTAAAATGATTAATTATATTGCATTAGTAAAGGAGTCGTTATTTTCTGTGAAGTATTATAGCATCCCTGTATTTATCAAGGTTCTAGCCAACTAAAAATTATGGTTATAATTCAGTTATAGTTTAATTCAACTGATGCTTACTGAATAACAATAGGTACATAAGAGGCAGTGGGCTGAGAGTTTAATTATTATTTTATAATCCACTCAGGTAACAATAGTCACCAAACACTAAAATGAATAATAAGCAATTATTCACAGCAATCATCTCCAGAGTGTATAAGAAGTCTTTTCCTCAATCTTGTTGACCTCTAATAGCAGCACATAGAAAGTATTATCTAACATATACATGGATGGAAACTTTTTTGGAATTTTTCTCTTACTATAGTTATATGAGTATTTTAATCCCCAATTGGAACATTTTGAGCCATCCTGTCGAATTTTTGAGTTAGTACAAAATTGAGTTTGGAGGGAAAGCCTAATTTTGCACTGTCACTGCTGGAGGCATTACCTCCTGCCCTCAGCACTACTCTTGATTTGCCAAGACTAGCATGGGCTAGGATGACTCTGTACTATCTGGGATGGTCGGGCAGGAGTACCTCTTCCAGGTCATTTTCCCCACACTCCAGGCTGTGTCAGAGAAAAAAAACAACAACTACAACCTGTCATATCTATGTATGATACAACACTAATGGGACAAGGTAGAAAACATGACCATTTCGCCAGGCACTGGTGGCTCTTATCTGTAATCCTAGCTGAAACCTGAGGATTGCTCTTTGAAGCCAGTCCAGGCAGTTCATGAGACTCTTATCTTCAATTAACCACTAGAAAATTGGAAGTGGTTCTGTGGCTCAAGAGCGCTAGCTTTGAGCTAAAAACCTCAGGGACAGTGCCTAGTCCCTGAATTCGAGTCCCAGGGCTGACCAAAAATAAAAAGAACATGTAACTGTGCTACACCCTTGCTGTATCTGGCAGGAGCAGGTACAGATCCTGTATCTGAGAGGTGTGAGGTCGCTTTGCCTCCTGACACACATGCCATCATGTTTCAGGCACACTGAGAGATAGGCAGTCTTCATAGTAAGGAGGACTAGCAAGAAAATCACAAAGAGGTGGAAGCCTGGGTAGGCTGCCTTGAAAATTTCATGCTGAAGGAATGCACTGCAAGAAAAATGAGGTTTGATAGCTCCTTCCAAATTATGCCAAGAACAACTCAGATTTAATAATCTCCCTATCTCAGCCTTCCAAGTAGCTTTGATTATAGGCATGTGCCACTACTCCAGGCTGTAAAGCACTTTTAAAAGTACATGCTTTATTATGAAATACAGATGTAGTGATAGTTGTACAATACTTAATTATATCTCCTTATGTGGTGCCTGTCTTACAGAGAAATCAAATTATCTTAGGCATTCTGTGACTGTCAGTTATGCTTTACCTGTGTCTCTTGCACAGAGAAGGATATGTGAGATCCTAAACATTTTTAGACCAATCCACCACTTCTTACCACTATCACTGATAGATAGGTTCATCATGACTTACTGTCCTTTTCTGCACATTACACTTGTCTTTTGCCGTAACACATAACCAAAAGTTTGTTTGTGATGACTCTGTGGCTCTATGATAGCCAGAAAGCCAACACTGAAAGTACAGCTGATCTGGAGTCACTCTGCCAGCTCATCAAATTCAGGCATTGTTGGCTCCGTATTTTACAGTGCTGAATAAAAACTGTTAACCTAGTTTTACTATTTATAATTCTTTTTATGCAGTTCCAGAAATGACATCTATTAACCAGAAAACAAAAATGAAACAAAACAAGCCCTTAACTAAATTACTAGAGCCCTAGGTGAGTCAGTTCTGACTTTTACTTGTAGGCAAGTCACTTTCCTTTATTGTACCTGTTTCTGTTAAATTGCTCTCACAGGGTCAAGTGGGGGTTCATAAGCCATCTTTATGATTCTTTAAGTTTGCCTGGCCTCATTTTTCAGTGTAACTAATAGAAAAGTGAATACACTCTTACCTGGCACTATATACTCAGAAAGGAACTTATTTTGGCAACAAGATAGTTTTCCCTCTTCTAGACTTAACCTTTCTAGGTGAAACCTTTAACAGAGTGCTTGTCTGAAAGACAGTGGCAAAAGAGTCACAAAGGACTGAGAGTAAAATGAGTAAATGTGTTGGTAAAGAAAGTTTACCGGGCAGCCAGAGTGTTATGGGAAAACAACAATGTAATATCTATAAGGCATGTGTCGTGTTAAAACAAAGAGAAGATAGCTATAGATAAGAAATGTACAAAAGGAGTGAGAGAATCAGATAGACTAGATTAAAGAGTGATTGATTGACAAAGGCCCTGAACTTAATATGCTTTTATGTCATCAAAAAATCTTTACATGTAGTTTGGCAATGGAGAATTGAGAGCTATGTCCTTCCAAAATAGCTATCAGGAAAACCAGTAAGATTTTGCCACAGCTTTGGTTCTGAAATTCCCACATGCCAGAATCTCATGATCCTAACAGATGGAAATGGCTGGTCACACAATAGCCATAATGTGTGGCTTTAGACATGTCAAGATGCTACCAAGAACACAGTCGTTCTAGCACAAGGTCTTATTCTCTGGGATTAAATCCCTTCTGAAGGGTGCTACTCTAGAGCCCTGAGAAATATCAGGGGCTTTACCTCACTGTATTCCCACTGGGAGAAATGGCAAACATTATAGATGAAGCCTTCCACATAGAGAAAATCATGCAAAATATATTTCATGTACACTAAAAAATTTTTAGAGTCCACAGATTTTAAGATAAAATAAAGATAATATTGTTGAGCACTTCCACACAGGTGAGTAGATGCTGAAGCTTCAAACTTGTGAATGTCTATTCAAAGATTTTAAAAAACCCTGAATTTCTATCTAAACTAAATGCATATTACAAAGCATTAAAGCTTTGCACTATTCCAACTAAGTGTTTATTCAATCACAGTACTACTTCAGATATTTACCTCACTGTAAATATTTTTTAAGATTATACTGGGATGGGAAATATTTTATGTGTTTGACTAGTATACAAGTGACAGAAATCATATTAATTTCCATAACTAGTTATTGTAGAATTATCAGTAAGTGAAATCCACTCCCTGATACCATATAACTTTTTATGCTTTATTCAGGCTCTGATTCTCAACAACAACAAGCTAACAAAGATTCACCCCAAAACTTTTCTAACCACAAAGAAGTTGCGAAGGCTGTATTTATCCCACAATCAATTAAGTGAAATACCACTTAATCTTCCCAAATCATTAGCAGAACTCAGAATTCATGATAATAAAGTAAAGAAAATACAAAAGGACACATTCAAAGGAATGAATGCCTTACATGTTTTGGGTAAGTTTTTCAAATGAACAAGACATCTTGAAATGGTAATTAAAATGTTTATATAGAAGACTGTTATCATTAACAACTTCTTTGGGTGTGTGTATATGTGTCGGTCCTGAGGCTTGAACTCAGGGCCTGGGCACTGTTCCTGAGCTTTTTTGCTAAAGGCTAACATTCTACCATTTGAGCTACAGCATCATTTCTATCTTTTTTGGTGGTTAACTAGAAATAACAGTCTCAATGACTTTCCTGCCCAGGCTGACCTTGAATCATTATCCCTAGATCTCAGCCTCCAGAGTAGATAGGAATTCAGGTATGAGTCACCAGCACCTGGTTTATTAAGAGGGAGAGGGAGAGAGACAGAGAGAGAGAGAGAGAGAGAGACAGAGAGAGACCAAGAGAGACAGAGAGAGACAGAGAATGTATATTGCCAGTCCTCGGGCTTGAACTCTGGGCCTAGGCACTGCCCCTAAGCTTCTTTTTGCTCTACCACTTGAGCTACAGAACCACTTCTGGCCTTTTCTGTTGATGAGGTACTAAGGAATGGAATCCAGGGCTTCATGCATGCTAGGCCAGCACTCTACCACTAGGTCACATTCCCAGCACTTCATTATTAGGTTTTAAGATAATTTACTCAATTAGCTTCACCCCCCCCCTCTCCTAGCCCCTTTGGTGGTTCTGAGCAGGCACTTTACTGCTTAGTCATGCCTCCAGCCTTACAATTCATTTTTGAATCCAATAATCCTTACCTAGACAAACCATTTATAAACTAATTAAAATGTGAAACAAGCCCAGGGCAGGTGGCTCATACCTATAATCCTAAGTACTCAGGAGGTTGAGATCTAAGGATCACAGTATGAAGCTAGCCCAGGCAGTCCAGTGAAACTCTTATCTCCGATTAACCAACAAAAAGCTAGAAGTGGAACTGTGGCTCAAATGGTAGAGTGCTAGCATGAGAAAAAAAGGCTCAGGGACAGATCCAGGCCCCAAGTTTAAGCCTCAGGACTGGGACACACATCAATAAAAGTGAAAGAATTTATGGTATTTTAAAAAAAGGTTTTGTGGTACTTTCTCTTTAAGAATTTCCTTTGAAATACCTAGATATGGTTTCTGTTTTATGTACTAGACTCTAATAAAACCTATGTTAATTTTTTTTAAAGATAGTATTTTTGGTGTATTGTATAAATTATTCAATTATAATGTTCTGATAGTATATAGAATGCAAACCTAAGTTTTAGTTATCTGGTTTAAATAACTGATTCATGAAATCTCTTGTTGTATAATATAAACATCATTTTATTTTACGTTTTGTGGTACTGAGTTTGAATCCAGGGCCTCATTCTTACTAAGCTGGCACTCTGCCACTTGAGCCATACTTCCAGCATTGTTTTTTGCTGATTCTTTTTTTCCTCTCTCTCTCTCTTTCTCTCTTTGTTCTGGAGCTTAAACTTAGGGCCTGGGCACTGTCCTTGAGTGTCTCTCTGCTCAAGGCTAGCACTCTATCACTTTGAGCCACAGCACCACTTCTGGCGTTTTCCTGTTTATGTGGTACTGAGGAATCAAAACCAAAGCGTATGCATGCTAGGCAAGTACTCTACCACTAAGCCACATTCCCAGCCCATTGTTCGCTTTTTTTTTTTTTTTGGGCCAGTCGTGGGGCTTGAACTCTGGGCCTGGGCTCTGTCCCTGTGCTCTTCAGCTCAAGGTGAGCGCTCTACTGCTTGAGCCACAGTGCTATTTCCGGTTTTCTAGTGGTTTTGTTGGAGATAAGAGTCTCATGGACTTTCCTGTCCGGGCTGGCTTTGAACTGTGATCCTCAGATCTCAGCCTCCTGAGTAGCTAGGATTACAGGCGTGAGCCACCGGCGCCCAGCTTGTTGGCTATTTTTGACATTATCTCAAAACCTTTTGTATAGACAAACCTCAATCTGCAATCCTTTTAGTCTTTGCCTCCTTCAGTAGAAAGGACTACAGTTATGACTTGCTGGTGCCTAGCCATTCTATGTTATTTCTAGTGGACATCTTATAACCATACTGTCTGCTCAGAATATCCACTTAAACTTCCCAAGGAAGATTCATGTTCATTTATTCCTAATTCTACCTAGTACCTGCCATTTTTGCCAATTAGCCTCTTACTGGTATTTCTCAAAGTTATATTTCTGCTAATTATATAATTTCTAATTGATTTATGATCAAAAAAGTTTAGAAAGAAAATTAAATGGAAAATATAAAAATCTTGAATTATATGAAAGATGACCATACTATTTTTTCTGATGCAATATTACAATAAAACATGTTCATAGTTAGAGGGGAATAAAGTGTCATTTAGTAATTCAAAGCAAAAAAAACAATCTAGTAGCAGGGCGCTGGTGGCTCACACCTGTAATCCTAGCTACTCAGGAGGCTGAGATCTGAGGATCGCGGTTCAAAGCCAGCCCGGGCAGGAGAGACCGTGAGACTCCTATCTCCAAAAAACCACCAGAAAACCGGAAGTGGCGCTGTAGCTCAAGTGGTAGAGCGCTCGCCTTGAGCTGAAGAGCTGAGGGACAGCGCCCAGGCCCAGAGTTCAAGCCCCACGACCGACAAAAAAAAAAAAAAATCTAGTTTATAAAATACAAAACAGGATGTTTTCTGAGACTGACAGAAGGGAGAGTAGATAGAAATCAACACCTGAAATGACAATGAGTGTGAACAATGAAGCTCACACTTCCCAGGATATGTCTTTGTACTGTGAGTTTCCTTTACATTTAACCTATGTATGCTAACTTATGTCATTTTCCCTCACAGAAATGAGTGCAAACCCTCTTGATAACAATGGGATAGAGCCAGGAGCATTTGAAGGGGTGACAGTATTCCATATGAGAATTGCTGAAGCAAAACTAACCTCAATTCCTAAAGGTTTGTATTTACTTTTAAAATCTGTTATGTTTCAATGACCATTAAGTGTTGTAAACTTTAGTAGTATGCATTGTCAAAACCATACTTCAATGAAAAATCATTGTGCTAGTATATATGATGAAATTTAGTATTTTTCATATGCAAATAAAGAACCAACATGTAGTGAATTTTTGACAGTATTAAGTAAAAATTATCTTCCCTAGTTATGAGAATAAACATCAAGAAGCAGAGAAGTTTTAATTTCTCTTATCTGACATTTACTTATCTACATCAATCATTCAGTGAAGCACAGTAGAGGGGGAGGAATCTATAGGGGAAAAAAGGGGAAAGCTGCATGCGGCCATACTGTTATCCCCTGCTATTCTATAGTTTAGTGTAGAGTCCATGAGGCCAGATAGGGGCAGGCCTGGCTCTGGCAGAAATGGATGTATTACAAGGGGCTCTCTTCCAGCATCTTCCCAGGTGCTGAGAAGATGAATCAGCCAACATACAACAAGTTTGAGAACAATGTCTGGAACATGGTAAGTGACAATATCTTTTACATCTAAGAAATCATCCTACATTATTCCCTTCACAGTCTAAGACCTGCAGCAGGTACATCCAAGTCTGGTGCTCCTCCACATTGCGAGATGACCAGTTTTCTATGCTATTCTTTCCAAGCTCACTATCTGATGACTGGCTGGATATGACTGCCTTTCTTGGAACTCATGGTGAAAATCTTGCTTTCCTTGTTCCTGACAAAGGTTTTCTTTGGTGATGACTACTTGGAAAATAACTCATATAATAACATATTTTTCAATTTCATACAGCTATCTTTCAGTATCCATCAGTACAAAGAGCAATCCTCTCTATTGCTCACCTGACCCAGAGACTAACAAGATAAACAGAATTAAGACAAAACAAAGTTGGTATTATTAAATCAAGCAGTGATCTTTCACTTAGGGTTCATTTACTCAGAAATATCATCAGAAGTAAAAGACAAATTTTCTACCCAGAAAGAAACAGTTTAATCCAGAACCACACAAATATAAAACTAGCTTCATTCATTTGAAGAAGGTGACTGTATATCAATAAGGCATATGACAACAATGACCAAAAAAATATAAACTTTTCCCAGAAGATTAAAACTAATGGAACTAAGATGGAGAAAAGGGAAGTAAGGACAAGGAAAGGAGTGAGGAAGAGGGAGGGGTCTGGGCAAGAGCTGCAGGAGAGGAAGAGGGAGCGGCAGGGTGGGACAGGGTAGCACCCCTGTGTTTATGTTCACATTCTGACCCACACTACTGGGCATGGCCATTCTTTTTTTGTGTGTGTGAAAATACTGTACAGAGGGGTTACAATTACATGGGCAAGATAATGAGTACATTTCTTATCAAGCATTGTTGCCTCCTCCTTTGTTTCCCCTTCCCATCCCTGCCCGCCCTCCCATCTCCCCTTCCCCCTTGCATGGCCATTCTTTACCCTTCACACTTGCAGGTTTTCTTTTCTTTTTTTTTTTGGTCGGTTGTGGGGCTTGAACTCTGGGCCTGGGCACTGTCCCTCAGCTCTTCAGCTCAAGGCTAGCGCTCTACCACTTGAGCTACAGCGCCACTTCCGGTTTTCTGGTGGTTTATTGGAGATAAGAGCGTCATGGACTTTCCTGCCAGGGCTGGCTCTGAACCGCGATCCTCAGATCTCAGCCTTCTGAGGAGCTAGGATTACAGGCGTGAACCACCGGTGCCCCGCAACACACTTGCAGTGTTAGAAAACACTGCAAAATACTCTAAGATTCTAATTTCAAGCATATCTTGGATTTAACTTCTTAAGATTCTTTCAGAAACTAAGGAACATTATGTCTTTAGGAAATTAAATTGGAATCTTACATAAATTGGAACTTACATAACTGCTCTTTCCAGATCCCTCTGACATTCAGAAGCCAGGAATTTAAAAAATTCCATTCACTAAAATGTGGTGGCCACATTCACAATTTCATCAATACTATAACTGTGGCAGAAGGAAATGCCAGACCTCCCAGGAGTCCTTACCAGGAAGATTGTACAAGAGGAAAATGAGAAAATGTCTTTTTCCCTGCTAATCTGGGAAATTCTACTGCATAATCATATTGCATGGGAAGACACCTGTTTGCGATGGAAATAGATGTTCTAGTACAAAAACATGCTAGAATTTGTTGGTAGTTACTGAACTATCTGCCAAATTCACAACTCTGCTTATTCCTGTCTTAGAGGCTATGCTCTATCTCCTCTCTGGTTATTTATCTTCCTCATGTCCTAGGGGCATACAGACCACTCAAGTTCTTTAAATCTCTCTCTAGAGATCTCCCTATCCCCCAACTTCTTACAATCTACACTAGAATTGGCTGGCCAGGACACCGTCTACTCTTCTATTAACTATTATGTTTGCAATTATTTATTTAGCTAGAATGTAGTGTGTGAGTACAAAAAAAAAAACCAAATATCTTTGTCTTACCTACTGGAGGGACCATATCATTTCATAATTATAATTAAGCTCAATTAATCATAAGTTCAAGAAACCAGAAACCTTTCATTTTGAAGTATTTTCCTGCCTTCTAGTTTATTTGCCTTAAGAATTCAAAGTAAAATTTGAAATTTGGTAGCCTGTGTATTGATATATGTTTACCTGAATTAGAGAAGGGAAGGGGAACAACTAAATGGTGAGACAAAGGGCAAAGGGCAAACCAAATACACCAGCGATACAACTTGGGGGGTGGCACTGGGAGAAGGGAAAGTAGGAGAAAAATGAGCAAGGGGGTAACAGCGTATGAAAAGAAATGTACTCACTACCTTATACGTGAAACTGTAATCCCTCTGTATATTACCTTGACAATAAAATTCAAAAAAATAAGTTCAGCCCTATTAAGACTATTGATATTCTAAAAAAAATCAATTTCATTCAGCCTTTACCATGCATATAGGAAGGAAATGTTTTAGTAAAATTTGAAAAAAGGAAAGCTTTCCCCCTGGGCTATCTAAAACCTTTGATTGACAAATATTATAAATTTGTTTGAGGGGCTGGGAAGGTGGCTCAGTGGTAGAGTGCTTGCCTTGCATGCATGAGGCCCTGGGTTCAATTCCTTAGCATCACATAAGCAGAAAAAGCCAGAAGTGGCGCTGTGGTTCAAGTGGTAGAGCACAAGCCTTGAGCCGAAGAGCTGAGGGACAGGGCCTACCTAGGCCCAGAGTTCAGGCCCCACGACTGACAAAAAAAAACAACAAAAATTTGTTTGACTCTTCCAGTAAGCTTTTGTAATGAGACAAGGGCTGGAAGCAGGAAATACCAGTGTGAGATAAGAAAGAACAAACCTTTATTTCAAAAGCAGGAAACTACAAATGCAGTCCTTAACTACTACTACTGAGAGAATAAATGCTAAAATGGATAAAATACCACAAATAAAGCATTTGTAGGTTTAAAATGATATTAAAAACAAACATTTTAACTGATCACCTCTGGATGCTGTACTAATTTATTATTTGAAAGAATCAAATGTTCTTTTCCTTTTTCTGTAAAAACTATTTTACAAAGTAGCTAGTTGATGAAGGAAAATTAGAAAATTCTACTACATCCATAAAAAATGAAAAAATCACAAAGTCATCAAAGCCAAATATAGCAAGGTATATCTTTAATCTCAGCTACTTGGGAAGCTAAGCCAGGGGGGTGGCTTATGCCCAGGAGTTCATGAGACCCCAGGATAAAACAAACAAGTCATCATTTTGCAATTTATAATTAATGAATGGATTAAGAAAGTACCCATGAATGAATAACAAAAATCAGGTAAAAGATGATCTACCTGAAGCTAATTGCATCCAATGGCCAGGTCATAGAAATAAAGGGGTTATTATAAGTAAGGTCATTTGGGAGGCATCAGCCAAATCAGAAAACAGTTTCTCAAATCCATATCTGAACTAGTGAATATCAGGAAGAAAAAGAATATGTTATCTAAGAGAGGTTTTTTTTTTTCTTTGCAGCACTGGGATTGAAACCAAGGTCTTGATAAGCAAGTTTTCTCCCACTTGAGCCTTTTTATTATTGTTTTTTGTTGATTTTGAGAAAGAGTCTTGCTATGTAACTCAAACTAGCTAGAACTAACTATGTTGTCCAGGTTGGTCTCAAACTGGCAATACACCTGTCTTAGCCTCCTAAGTGCTAAAATGACAGGCATGGCCATTCATTCCCAGTGAACAGATTATAAAAGAACCCAATGTATATTATAAATTTACTTTGGATGTTGACTTAAATCAACTGCAAAATGATGTATTTGTGACAAATGGAGATATTAGATGAGGAATTTTTTCAGATATATTAAGAATGCGGTTACTCATAAAACTGACTTTACCAGTTAGACATGTAATGAATTATTCACAGGTGAAATTATATTATATTTGGGATTTAAGTTTAAATATTGCAGTTAAAAAAAAATGCAGCTGCTGGGCGCCAGTGGCTCACACCTGTAATCCTAGCTACTCAGGAAGCTGAGATCTGAGGATAGTGGTTAAAAGCCAGTCCCAGCAGGAAAGGCTGTGAAACTATTATTTCCAATAAAACACCAAAAAACAGGAAGTGGTACTGTGGCTCAAGTGGTAGAGCACTATCCTAGCTGAAGAGCTCAGGGACAGCACTCAGGCCCAGGGTTCAAATCCCATGATCATCATCAACAACAACAACAACAAATGCAGCTACAGCTGGTCGCTAGTAGCTCACATCTGTAATGCTAGCTACTTAGAGGGCTGAGATCTGAGGATTGTGGTTTGAGCTAGCCCAGGCAGAAAAGAACCTGTGAGACTCTTATCTCCAATTAACCACTCAAAACACCAGAACTGGTGCTGTGCTTAAAGTGGTAGAGTACTAACTAGCCTTGAGCAAAAGAGCTCAGGGACAGCACCCAGGCCCTGAGTTCAAGCTTCATGACAAAAAAAAAAAAATGCAGCTACAGAAGTAGATAAATGGAGTAAAGGAACTTGTTGAAAACAAATAAAGCTACTTGTTGAAGCTGGACATAGTGTCGTGGTTCACATAACAATTTCTATTTTTGGGGTAACTTTGGAATTTTCCATAATAAAAGGATTTTTACAAGCAGGTTCTTAAAAAAATTGCCAAAATCTATCCTCTGAAACTTGACAAATGAGTTAATTAGCTTGGCCTTACTTGATATAATAAACATTCTTCTTTTCTTACTAGACCTACCATCAACTTTACTGGAGCTCCATCTAGATTATAATAAAATTTCAACTGTGGAACTGGAGGACTTTAAACGATACAAAGAACTACAAAGGTAAAAGATTCCAAAACCTTAGGTTAAAAGAAGTAGCCTATATGATGAAGATGTTAATGAAGCATTTCAGAGAATGTGCTTGAGGACTGTATTCATTAGCATCATCATTGCTAAGGAGAATATAAAGAGAAAACTTGAAAGAACCACCATCCCTATGGCCTATGCTAACGGGAAAGGCAAATCCTGTGGACAGAAGAAAACAATCACATTACTATTTTTTTTCTTTTATAAAGGCTTAGAACAGATAATTTTTCAAAAGAATGGTAGGAGATGATTGTCGTACACTGAAAAGGTTACTGAAGCCATGTAACACGTTTTCATGAATGTGTATAAAAATAAGACAGACTTATATTCTAAGTGGGGTTGTATTATTTTTCAGTGAACTCTACCAAATCTAACAAGCTAAGAATTGATGCATTACTTTTTTTCAATCATTTTTAGGCTGGGCCTCGGAAATAACAGAATCACTGATATTGAAAATGGAAGTTTTGCTAACATACAACGTGTAAGAGAAATACACTTGGAAAACAACAAACTTAAAAAAATCCCTTCAGGGTTACAAGAGTTGAAATATCTCCAGGTAAAGCATCCTACTTGTGTTTGGTAGCTATGAGCACTTTACATTTTATAAACACAGTAGTGTATCTCTAACAAAGATTAGCAGGCAGCAAGGGTAATTGAAACATGATGACTTTTCAGGTTGCATGAGATGTTTTACCAAGTAGAAGAGTATTAGGATAACTGTTTCTAAACATAGTTCACCCAAGAAGCTCAGAACCCATTTGTATCCACTTTCACCTATTGAAACTGCTGAGGTTATTGTGGCAAAGTTTCTAATAGAGCCAACTTCAACTTGCTGCACCTTTCAAGGCAGGGCTGGCTAGGAAACCAAGGAGGGTCATCTTGTTCTAGAAACCTTTCACAAGGCAAAGCAAGAAGATTAAGATCCAGATTTTTTTCACTATCAAAGTGGTGCTGGATTAGAAGTGTTTTTTCAAATGGTAAAGAATACATAACTGCAAGTCATCATTTGCAGCATCACATGTTCATATTACACAAGGTACCGCTCATTGGTAGAATGCTTGCTAAGCATGTGCCAGGCCTGGAAGTAGATTGATAGCACCATTCAAAAGTTCATATTTTGGCACACTCTGTGTGTGTGTGTGTGTGTGTGTGTTGTGTGTGTGTGTGCTAGGATTACTATGTAGCTAAGATTACTGGTGTGAGCCATCAGAGCCTGGTGGGGGAGAGAGGGAGAGAGAGGGAGGGAGAGAGAGGGAGGGAGAGAGAGAGGAGGAGAGAGGGAGAGAGAGAGAGAGGGGGAGAGAGGGGGAGAGAGGGGGGAGGGAGGGAAAGAGGGAGGGAGAGAGAAAGAGAGAGAGAGAGAGAGAGCGCTGGGATTACTGTGTAGCTAGGATTACTGGTGTGAGCCATCAGAGCCAGGTGCTGATCCATGTTGTTTTTCATTATTAGAAACCCTTCCTTTCTCATTTTGTAACTCTTTACTGACAGGAACCACAGGAAGTGAAGATAATATTTCACACATAATTTAGGACTTTCACAACTTCTATGATTCTCCTCTATGGCTTTCAGTTTAAGAAAGCTCTACTTAAACCCAACTCTCTTTTCACTTAAGCTTACTTTTCTCACGGGCTTTTCTTGCGATGTAAAGCCCTAATCTTTCAAGAAGCAAAAGACACTGAAAACAAAATGGCATTAAATACTCTGCTTATAGATTTCTTTCAGGTCTTTATTTTATTGTGGGGAGAAGGGGTTCAGACAGGATCTATGTAGCCTAGGCTGGTCTGGAGCTGGCCAGGTTCACATATATGAACAGAATTACACATATATGAACCAGAACTACAGTAGAGAAGAACAAAAGTCACAATTGTTCCAGTCAATGAATATTCACAGCCTAAACAGATTCATGCCTCGTATGTTTTACTTGATGCCTCCTCTGAGCTTTGGTAAACACCAACTTGCTCTGACAATGAGCAGTAAGGAAACAGAGAGGAACATTACCTGTTACAAAAATCCCAGGACAGATAGAGCACAGAGGGGAGATGAAGACAAAACATGAACATTTTAGTATTGCCTACAGTTTTCATGATTGGGCTTATATTGTCTTTGTCAAAAGTGAAAGCAGAGTCTAGAGGTAAAAAGAATCAAAACTAGTATTGTAATTTTGCAAGCAAAACACCTCTGCTTTTGACTAGGCCAACAATGAATCAGTTAAGTAAATTGCTTTTACTTTCAAGAAATAGTACTACTGCAATAAAAGACCAAAGGAAAAAATAGAACAGCTATTAATAGGAATAAAGGAAAGTTGTTATATTCACTATTCTTTATGAGTAACAATTTTAAGGCTATAAAACTGGGAAATAAGGACAAGTGTGGTGGCCTATAATCCTAACTACACAGGAGGCTGAGATTTGAGGATCTTGGGTGTTAAGCCAGGCCAAGCAGGAAAGTATGAGATATTCTTATCTCCAGTTAACCACCAAAAAGCTTAAGTGGTGGTGTGGCTTAAGTGGAAGTGTGAGAGTGCTGTGCTAGCATTGAGCACAAAAGCGCAGTGACAAGCCAGCTCTAATGGCTCACATCTGTAACGCTAATTACTCAGGAGACTGAGATTTATTTGAAGATCATAGTTCAAAGCCAGCCCAGGCAGGAAAGTCTGTGAGAATCTTATCCCTAATTAACCACCCTTTAAAACAAAAAAAAAACAACAAAAAAAGAAGCCAGAAATAGAGGTGTGGTTCAAGTGGTAGAGTGCTAGCCTTGAGCAAAAAAGCTCAGGGCCAGGCCCCAGGCCCCTGAGTTCAAGCCCTGAGCTGGCACCAGAAAGCAAAACAAAGTTGATATATCTATTGGTGCAAAAGAAAGATTCAGACGCTCTAATACAAATATATATATGTCAGATGTTTTTTCTATAAAACATAAAAATCAGTTCTATATCTTTAATAACAGAAAATGCTGTTTCTTTGCATTTATAGAGTGAGTCAAAATCTTGAGAGCTTTGAAATTAATTCTTCTGCCCATTTCTAATATTTTTAAACAAATATAAATATGGCATAGAAGTAACTGTGCAGAAAGGGAAAAGTGGGAGAAGCAAAGTGGCCAACCAGACCAGGCAGTGTCTCTCAGCCTGAGTTCCATTCTCCATAATGCATCTTCCGGACACATATTTGTAAATTATGTGAGCTTCAGTTCTATAAGTTATATAATATGTAAACGAATATATCTATTTTACATGAAAAATATAGGCAAACCATTGTTAAATAAACAGATGAATAAAGCCATGAATAAATGATAACCATAGCCACTCACACTAGTGTACAACTATAATCCTTGCTACGCAGGAGGCAAGGCAGGAGGCTCTCAAGTTTGAGGTCAGCTAGGGCAACTCAGCAAGACTGTCTCAGAAATTAAAATATCAAAGAGTCAGAAAGAGTGAATGGATGTCTTTTGGGACATGTACTCATTACCTGACTTACATAACTATATGCTACCTCTCTGTAAATCAGTTTTATAGTAACAATTAAAAACTAAAAAATATTTTAAAAAAGAAGTGGGAGTGTAGCTTAGTGGTTGAACAGGGGAGCAGAGGGTGAAAGGAAAGAAAAGCTGACTTAATAGAATGTGTTTCTTTTATATTTACTCAGTATTTTAAACTTAGTCTTTTTTCCCCTCTTCTCTAACAGATAATCTTCCTTCATTCTAATTCAATTACAAAAGTGGGAGTGAATGACTTTTGTCCAACAATACCAAAGATGAAGAAATCTTTGTATAGTGCAATAAGTTTATTCAACAACCCAATGAAGTACTGGGAAATACAACCTGCAACATTCCGTTGTGTTCTAAGCAGAATGAGTGTTCAGCTTGGGAACTTCAGAAAGTAATAATTAGTAATGTCCATTGAGTGTGTGTAATTCAACATTTTTTTACATTTGGAAAACTTGAACTTGACTGATAATGGTGGTATAATATAAGCAAAAATTTATCCCAAGTGGTAAATGACAAAAAATTTCAACAGAATTTTGCCAAACTATTGATATACAATGATTAACAGAAATAAGCATCTATTGCAGTTTCCTTTTGCATACAAATGATTTTATATAAGTATCTTGCTTGAATATTCCTCTTTCAATAAAAAAAGACATTCATTATTTAACCATTTGTTACCAAGTGCATTAACAGAATTGTACTGTAAATGAAATGCTTGACTTAGTAACATTTGTGCTCTCTCATTTGCTGTTAGAAAACCAAGACTGAAAAGGACAGCTATATGAAGAGTAGTCTATTCTCTTTAATAACTTGGATAGTACTGTAATATTTCTAACCATATTGAAGTATGGTTCAATATAATCATATTAAAATTCTCATGTGTAAGAGCCCATCTTTTATGATTAAAATCTTAAGCAGGCACCAGAGGCTCACACATGTAATGTTAGTTACTCAGGAGGCTGAGATCTGGAGGATCATGGTTCAAAGCCAGCTCAGGCAGAAAAGTCCATGAGACTCCATCTTCAATTGACTAACAAAAAGCTAGGCTGGAAGCATGGCTCAAGTGACAAAGCACTAAGCAAGCAAGCAAGCAAGCAAGCAAAGCAAGCTTGAGATAGTGATTACATACCCCAGGACCAGCAAAAAGAAGCAAACAAAAATAAACAAATGAGCTCTTAGAATATAACTTTCAGTGTGCATTACCAACTGAATAGGTAACTTTATAAGAGCTGGTTTGGGGACTATTAACTATAAAAACTGTTAAAATGGGCTGGGAAGGTGGCTCAGTGGTAGAGTGCTTGCCTTGCATGCATGAGACCCTGGGTTCGATTCCTCAGCACCACATAAGCAAAAAAAAAGAAAAAAACTGTTAAAATGCATTGTAAGAGTTTATGTAAAATCTGTAACTCATTTTTCATGATCAGTTATTATAAGCTTTTAGTAGCATGTCAATTGTTAGGTTATGTAACGCTGTCACCTCAACTAGGAACATATTCAGGATGTCCATTTGGAAGACTTTGCTTGGAAGCATCTTGATATCTATCAATTCTACAACAATTTTTATCCTCAAAAACAGACTTGTTAACTGAGAATCATACCTGGCTTAACAGAAAAGGCAGAGTATCAGATTAAAAAAAATAAAAGCTCAAAACTGTGCAAAAATTAAAGAGTAATTTATGTGTTCTTTATTGGTATTCAACATAAAATAAGTACAATTGGAAATTAAGGGAATCTTTAAGATACTAGTTTGAAGTATTCTTAGATTTATTTTTTCTTCTCCCACTCAAAAAATTTAATTAAAAAACTTTGTATGTAGGGCTGGGGAGATGGCTCAGTGGTAGAGTGCTTGCCTTGCATGTGTGAGGCCCTGGATTCGATTCCTCAGCACCACATAAGCAGAAAAAGCCAGAAGTGGTGCTGTGGCTTGAGTGGTAGAGCACTAGCCTTGAGCTGAAAAGCTGAGGGACAGCACCCAGGGCAAGAGTTCAGGCCCCACGACTGGCAAAAAAAAAAAAAAAATTGCATATAACATTTTTAAAGCAACATTAATGTTTATCCTCTATAACAACACTAAAACACAACATGTAATTCCTGTGCTATACCAGAGATCATCTTTAAAAAGAAATTTATTGTAAAGGTGATGTACAGAGGGGTTACAGTTACAAGAGTCAGGTAAGGAGTACATTTCCTTTTGAACAGTGTTACCCCTTCCCTCATTCTCTTCCAGTTTTCCCCCTCCTGGTATCCCTCCCCCTAGGTTGTATAGTTCATTCCTACCATAGTGTCTATTGAGTCTCATTGACAAATTGGTTCATCCTTTGTCCTTACCTCAAACAACCTCAAAAATACACTTAGGATATAAGGAGAGAATCAGATTACAGGTGTAGGGGTGTGTGAGAGTGTGAGTGTGTGTGTGTGTGTATATACAAGGAGAGAATTAGATTACAGGTATAGGTGTGTGTGTGTGTGTGTGTGTGTGTGTACACAAGGAGGAGAGGGGGTTGGCTATCAAGATTAAGAAGAGGTAAATAAGGAAGGTCTCATTTTTCACAGCATGGTTACTCAACTTCAGCACGCACTCAGGGCCTCATGTTTGCTCAGCTTTCTTGCTTACTGATAATGAGCTATCATTTGAAATATGTCTCCAGCCCAGGTTTTTATTGGTTAGTTGGAGATGAAGACTTGCAGACTTTTCTGTCTAAGATGGCTTTGAAAGACAGCTCCTCTAGGTTGAAACGTCCAGAGTTGCTAGAATTAGTACACCACAGCCCATTCCTAAACTATTTTTAGTAAAAGTTTTATTGATAAAATTCACAAAACTAGAATTGTGACTCAACTGGTCCAGCATCGGCTTGGAGTAAGAGATAAAATTCACATATAATTCAACCATTTAAAGCATACAATTAAAAAAAGTTAAAGCATACAATTCAATGGTCCTTACTGTAGTTAGAGTTGTACACTCACCATAATTAATATTGGAGAATTTTTATCACCACAAAAACAAGTCATATAATCATCAAAACACTATCCCCACTCCCTTCCTGGCTCATTCTAAGGCTTCTTTTTCACTTTTTAGTTTTTGTCCTTTGACTCAAAACAGGTTTTAATGATGACTTCTAGTTTATTTTACTGCTTGAACTTTTGGGTCACAGAAGAAACTGCTACCTAATCCAAGTTCATAAAATTTTTCAACTTTTTTTTTAAAGCTTAATAGTTTAAACTCTGATGAGAGCTATGCTCTATTTTAAGTTCTGTATATGGTATAATGCAAATAGCATCTTTGGGCAAAGCAGATCAAATGTGGAGATATACATTTATTATCCTACATTATTAGGCCTAAGACGCTAATTTTTAGTATACATTGCTGTCGATTTATTGTATCTGTTCTTGAACTTCAAAGAAATGAACTCATATATATAAATCTTTAGGTACTATTTTCGTTTGCTTCTTTTAAATTTTTAAAATTTTTATTTTTTGGTACTGGTACTAGGGCTTGAAATCAGGGCCTTGTACTCTAGATTGACTTTTTTTTTTCCCTGCTAAGACTTGTATATACCACTTGAGCCACATTTTCCCTTCTGGTCTTTTATTGGTTAATTGGAGATTTAAGAGTTTCTTGGATTTGTCTGCTCAGGCTGGCTTTGAATGTAAATTCTCAGATCTCAGCCTCCTGAGTAGTGAGGATTACAAACATGAATAACCAGTGTCTGGCTTCTTTAAGTGAGAAGATTACAACAAATTTGGCTTTGTAAATCTTAACTTCCTTTAGATTTTACAATAAGGCAACAGAGATGAAAATCATTAAGGATATTCTGCCTTACACAGGGGAGATTATATGTACAAATAGAAGAAAGTGAAGTACAGAAATGGAAGTAAATGGTCAAACTAGTTTAATAGCTTGAATGTAGTTTGAATGGCAGGTTTCTGTTGATTAATGGAGAGTCAACTACTGTTAGAAGAATAGGTCACACAGTCTGCTAACATATCAAATTAGGTTACAATTTACACATAAAGTTAGGTTATACTAACCATGTAAGGAGATACCTCCTTTAACCCAAACTGGAATATGTATAGAAGCTTTAGACTAAATTTAACATGCTAAAAAATGACATATGAAATACATCTATAATATCATGTGTTATCATTCAATTCTTTTTATTGTTGAATAGTACTTACCCTTTCTAATACTGAGGGTCATTTGAGTATCACCAATTGTGGGATATTGTGAATAAGCTACTAAAACATGTTTCTACAAGTCTTTTTTTAGGGCTCATCAATTCATTTCCATAGGGTATGTATAGGGTTTAACTATTTTTATTTTATTCTCTTCTATTTCCCATTAAAAAAGATAATATCTCAGAGTATCCTCCCTCGCCCCCAACAAGCATATTAAACTGGTCAAGTTACCCAATTTTCACCATGGGAGGGCAGTCTTATTCTAATATGCCACAGAAGTCTGCAAATAAATACAAAGCAAAACAAAGCCAAATATTTTTACTTTCATACTATTGTTACTAATCATATTTTAAAAAATTGGAAAATGACAACTGACTAGAAGGAAAAGTTGGAACACATTGCTAGACTAATAAAAAATTAGAAAAACAAAGGGATGGAAATTTGAAAATTGGACAAGCAGAATGCTATATATATTTTTAAAGTATGTAAGTCACTTCATAATATTAGAAAATCTTTATGATGATGATGATGATGATGAAAGAACAGCATTTATTCGTCATACTTTATATCAATAACGTTAATTACAATGCTAAAATTCCAAGTTTTTGAAAATGGCTTTTTAATATATATATTTGCTTCTATATTAATAAAGTATCTGTGGAAAGACTTGGCAGAAAATGGTATTGTGATTCAGGTAACTCAGATGTTTAATTAAGGATAAGAACCTCTTATTCCACTTTTCCCTTCTTTCTCCTGTTTAACCATCTAGTTACTGTGTTTTCTCAGTGATACTATAGTTATGTACACACACAAACACACACACACAAATAATTCTTGGATTGGTACAGGGTCAGTTTTCTAGGGACATCACAAACAGGCAGAATATTAAGAAACTATTCAGAAAATAGAGAAGAGGATGAATCATGGAGGTTACTGAGAGTTTAGCCTTAAGGGAGAAATCAATTAAATTTGTAGTTGATTACAACTGAAGTAAGATGAAACCTAGAAAATAAGCAGGAGTTATTTATCAAGGAGACTGAGCTGTGAGGAGCCTCAGCATTCTCAGTAGCAGAAGCTCTTATAAAAGTCTTAGCAAGGCAAGAATATGGCTATGTAAAGCTAATGGAGAGAAAAGTGTGGGCATATACAAGGTCAAAGCTTCTCCATATTTGAAAATCAATAATGAGAATTAACTTATTCTTCATTTTATTGACCAATAATGATTTGTATTTATTTATGTGTTACAGTGTGATATTTTCATACATGTATACATTACATTAATTAATAGGATTATTAGCCTAATACCTTCCATAATTATCAATTCTTTGTAGTAAGAACATTCAAATTCCTCCCATCCAATGATTTTAAAATATACAAAATGAAACAGCACTGGAGGGTATAAAGTATAAGCACTGTATAACCAGATTAATTTTTGTATAAAATAAGAAAATGGGATGAAGAAAGTGTATATAAACACAAGGAAACTAAGTAAGACCCTATTTAGAATATCTGAGTAAGACCTTACTCAGAATATCTGGATACTTTGACATGAACAGATTAAAAAAAAAATCTGAAGCAGGGTACAAAAGATTTAGCAATGGGTCCAATTAAGAGAGTGGGGGGAGAGGAGACATTTGAATCAGTGCTTCTGCATGTTTTCATAACACTTGGGGCACTTCTTAGAAGTGGAAATTCCTAGGCCCTTTCTCTGAGAGTCTGGTTTCCTAGGTGTAGAATGTAGAGATGCTAGATCTTAAGTTTTTAACAAGCAGCTCTAGCAATTCTGGACTTGTTATCACACACTGAAACTTCTGGCTTATATAGGACAGAGGGTAAGGTTGGGATGTGTGTGTGCGTACATGTGCATACGTGTGCGTGCGTGCGTGCGTGTGTGTGTGTGTGTGTGTGTGTTAACATATACAGAAAAAGTACATGAAGGAAAAGCAAGCTGCTCCTCAGATCCCTGTAGGGGGCAGATACACAAAGTTGTGGACTGTGTTTGCTGGGCAAATGTGACATTTAGTGTTCAGATAGTTCCATAATGGGGCCCAAATGGCCTGCTGTTAGAAATAGCTCATTTATTAAGTGTTATATTTACCTTGCAAACATGGTTCCTAGTTAGAGGTGGTGGTAAATTATCTGCAGTCCCAGCTATTTGAGAGAATGATGTGGGAGAAGTTCCAGAGCCCATAAGTTCCAGACAGGCTTGGACAACAAGATCCCATTTTTAAAACAATATTATTCTAACCACACGTCTACCTTGATGCTGGTGCTCACTACCTTGCTTTGATTCTTGTCTTTCACTTTTGGAAAACAACATGGCTTGCTCCCTCACAAAATTCAGACCTAAGTATCTAAATTATATACATTATCTCAAATACCCTTGTTACTTAGTGCTGGTATTGGGGATTGAATTCAGGGGCTGGGCTCTGTCCTTTGGCTTTTTTTGCTTAAGGCTACTGTTCTACCACTTGGCTCACAGCTCCACTTCTAGCTTGTTGCTGGTTAATTGGTGAATAGAGTCTCATGGACTTTCCTGCTCTGGCTAGCTCCAAACCAAAATCCTATCTCAGCCTCCTGGTTGCTTACAAGTGTAAGCCATCAGTAAGTGGTTGGAATCCTCTTTTTTTTTCTTTTTGTCGGTCGTAGGTCGAACTCTGGGCTTAGGCGCTATCCCTCAGCTCTTCAGCTCAAGGCGAGCACAGGCCACTGCTTGAGCTACAAGCCACTTCTGGTTTTTCTGAGTGGTTTACTGGAGGTAAGAGTTTCACGGACTTTCCTGCCCAGACTGGCTTTGAATGGCAATACTCAGATCTCAGCCTCCTGAGTAGATAGGATTACAGGCATGAGCCACCGGCACCCGGCTTTTCTTCTTATTTTTAATGAATAGATTTTGTGGTTTTTTTTTAAAGCAATCTTGGGTTCATAGTAAAACTGAGGGCAGGCACAGAACTGAACCAGATCCCTCTGAGTGTTTTCTTCTTTCCTTTTAGTACTACTCTGTTGCTCTAGCTCTACTTTGCACTTTCCCTACCCTAGTTCTCTTAGAATCAGTCATTTTTCCAAAAACCAGCCATGGTACTGGAGTAGTATTAGAAACAAGAAGTCTTGCAGTTTTAAAGCAAGGTCATATACATATATACTAGTCCCTTTATACATTCATATATACAACTATCCCTGTATGTATATTTAGCTAAACATGGATTCATACTGCTGTGTCCAACTCTTAATTAACACCTGGAGCATTCACACCACCTACTCTTGCTTATCTATAACGCTGCACTTCAAAGTGTGACACTTGGTTCCTATCATCCATCATACAATAATTGCTCCATTCAAGTCTATAGTTAGAGCAGTAACAGAACTAGTAATCTGTACCCCTTTGCCTCATTCTTTTTTCTCCTTCTATCCTTCTACCTTGGCTTATTTTCTCCACTGGAAAAATGTTTATTTTTCTCTTTCTTCACTATGATAACAGAGTTTTTCGTTGCTGAGTCCTCAGCACCTAAAATTTTATTAACGTAGGTCCTCTATGAAAAAAAGTTGAATGAATGAGGACTTGTCATACCTATTACATTAATTCATCAGGTTAGAGGAGAGCCTTTCCTAAATAGCACTATGCCATTCTGCTTTGAGAAACTATCGACTTCAAATTATAACATAAGCTTAATTATACTATATAATTACACTTTTCACCAATCTGTCCTACTTTTCTAACCAACTGCTACTATTCAAAACCTCCTAACTAAATCAGTGATCACCAACTAGCACTCACAGCTCCTATTTTCCTTGAAGCTCTGATTCTACACCATCCACTCCCTCATTCCCAATCACTGCCAACACTTAGACCTCACAGGCACTGTCAAATTATTTAAAACTTTTAGACACTTTTGATTGTATATAATCTAGTTATTTACCAATAAATCTTTTTTTAAACATTTGTTGGAAACACAAACTATTCTAACTTCAAATCACACATTTCATTAATTACATAAAAATTAAATGATTGGTTTTAAATTAATTTTCAAGAGAATTACAAGGGGAAGTAATAAAAAAAAAAACTTTTGGAAGAACACAGATGTGTTCTCTTTTCCTTAGTGTGGAAGCTTGAGGTTTAAGAACAAAGACACTAACAGAAAACATATGGGAAGGATTGGTAACAAAATGGAATCCTGGCCCAAATGTGGTCTGCCACGTTTTACATACCAATGTCTCAAATAACAGACTAGAATTTTATAATACCGCCAAAGCATCATTTGAAACACTGAATGCTTTTTTTAAAAATCTGAAATATAACAAAATAAATCTTGTGTGTTCTTTGTAAAGTCTTAATGGAAAACACTGTTTTTGAGGAACCAAAAATGGACTCTTGGATTTACTTTACCTTATTTGCTCAAGCTTGAAAGAATCCCCCCAAATGAACTCAGTATCATCTGCCAAAAGACACAGCTAACTCTGTTTAAATATTAGCATTAGCATGAAAACACGCTCGCTAGTGCTCTTGCTCTCTCTCTTAGCATTTAAAGCAAGCTAGTTAGCTGTTATTTTTAAGGAGAATAATTCAGTAAAATAGGAAACTTTCTAAATCTGTAAAGTCAATGACTACTGGTCAATGGAAGCTTTTCATTTGCTTATGTTCAATACTACAAAAATATCTTCTGTACAACAATTATGTTGAGTCCAAGGCATTGATTTCCATAGCCAAGGAATTCATTTTTCTTTTAAAGGTCATTAGTAGGCATTCTATATTTGGAAGTAAGATGAATAAAGGGATTGACAGAAAAAATAATTTAAGTCTTAGTATGGAAAAATTCTATCTTTAGTCTGAGATTACAATGACAATCTACTGCATTACAAAAGAAATAAGCCTGATGTGAAATACCATGTTTCTGACTTCTTGTTGTAACAAAAGGAAGCATTGATGTGGTGCTAGAAACCCAGAGACTAAGGACAATTTTGAGCTCCACCTTAAATTTGCTGAGACACTGGGCTCCAGGTCACAGTGGATTTTAATGTGAAGAATTCCTTGGCATAAAAATGAAAATAAAAACAGTAATCAGTACATGTTGTTTCATTTAGTTCTGTTTGCCTTTCATATTAGAGGAAATTCTTACCACACCTCAAACCAAAATTAAGGGGAAAAGAAAGAAGTAAACCACATAAATCTTACCAAGAGTACAAACATCTTAATTTGAATCCACAAAGTTTTGTATAATGAAAAGAAATACAGAATTTTAATTCAATCCAAGTGTTTCCCAAGCAGATTGTATTTGCTTAAATTGCTACAGTAATTCAATGGGCAGCCCTGTCTGGACACAGAGTTACTGTGAATTTTTAAGAAACTCAGTTAAAGAATTTAGGAATTTCTGATTCACTCAAAGGATTTGCAAACTCATCAACTCCTGAAAGCTAAAGCAATTTCTACAGGTATGATAAAATAATTTTCAACCTTTAAAACACTTATTCCTACTGTTAAAGTATATTGTATTTGTTTAGTATTAAAAGACTGCAGATATCATAGTGGCACAATTTGGGGAGACAAAATACGGTTAAAGCTACATTAAAATTTTGATTAGACAAAATACTCAGGGAAGAAGATAAGCAGAGTAAGATTAAATTTCTAACTCTAAATTACCAACCAATCTTAGATTAGATTTTCTTTTAAGTAGGGAAAGATCCTTCTCATGCTAAAGAAATCAATCTCTTACTTTGAGGGATCTGTTTTTCATTCTCAATTTTAAATGGCAAAAAACGTGGTAAAGCTTTTTGATCTACAAATCTGGACCATGCTAGTGAGTATGGTTGCAGGGAAGATGGGCATTTGTACAAATTTCATGCAAGAGTTTCTCAAAATTTCTTTATCACTCAAATCCTGATATATAATGTTTTTGCTTTTACTTTCACCTCTTCGGAGAGATATGAATATATTATCTCTCTATTCAAGAAGCTAGTTATTGGGCTTAAGTTGGTTAAGGTTTCAAGTGTATTATGGCTAAAAATAATTAAGACAATGATATTTTAATATTCAAAGAATTTTACAAAGTAAAATTTTAAATTGTTTTGGATAAAATGTGAAATATATACTAATGGTTCATTTATTTTTTTTTGAGTGTTCACCACATCTTTATTAAGATAAAATACAAAATAGACACACCAGGGACAGACTTTCTGTTGGGCCACTGCAAGACAGGAACATGGGAACATTGATTTTGGCTGTCCTGAAAAATTAGATTTGCACTGCAGTTTAACTTTTCTAATGGTTCATTTCTTACATACTGGTCTCTATGGCATACCGATGAAATAATTACATCTTTAAAATAGTAAAATGTTGCGATGTTTCTGTTCAGACCAAGTATATCTGTTATATTAATAATAATTTAAACTAGAACCTGTCTTGATGAAAATACGAGTTTTCTTCAAGTAAGAGAAAGGTTAACACATAAAAGCTTTTATTATATATGAAAAATTTCACACTATGGAAACAATTTAAAACCTAGTAATACACAGACCTTAGATTTTCTTTTTCTTTTTCTAAGCAATAGAACAGGTAAGTAAGGAATACAGTATATTATCATGGAGAAGTATTCAACAGACAAAGGTTGTTTATATAAAGAGACTACCATGTGTAAGAAATCAACATTACTCACAGCACTATTAACAAGATACAATCAGTACTTTATCAAACCTTGCATTAACTAGATCCTGTTGAAGATTAGAGGTCAGGAATGAGGGGTCTAATAGTAAGTTATACTGTTCTGCTGTGAGTTATCCCTACAGGGAAGAAGGCATAGATGTGGAATATGAAAAGCAGTCATAACAAAATGTGCAAAATTAGCAAATGGCTGAGAAGAGATTCATTATTATATAATGAAATTAAGATAATTGTAGCGGGAAATTATCACGAGAAGAAACAGTAGATAATAGGCACATGGATAGAAACAGGCTAGATTTCATATCAGAAATATTCAGAGTAAAAGAGAAACAAAACAAGCCAGCATTACAGAATCACACATGTAGAGGGAATGTTTAGTATAGAAGAAAGATTGTTCTTTGGGGAAAGGTTTTCTTTCTAGTGTTCATAATGACCAAAAGGAGGCAAGATAAAGAATTTCTTTATTTTCAGAGAGCCTTTAGTTATGAGATTTTTTTTAAATTCTAAGTCAAAGTTAGTTATAATTAAGTATGGGACTAAAGATACCCAACTATCTTTTTTATAACAGTAATCTGTAGAATTGTTAAGAACAGATTAATTTCCAAAGATAAGATGGCTAATTGATAGTTGCTAACTGTCTTAACACAATGATTAAATTCAGACTGAATGTGCACAAGCAACACTCTTCCAAGTTCATCTGTGTGACAGAGCCCTGTGTGGATTGGCCCAATGCTAGGGCCAGGCCCATCTCTGCCTCTCAGTTCACATCTTCATGTTTTAATAAGAAAGACTCACAGAACCCAATTTCACTCGCTGTATTGGAACTGAAATAAAGTAGGACAGATTTTTTTTTGGGGGGGGGGGGGAGGGTCATGGGGCTTGAACTCTGGACCTGGGCACTGTCCCTGAGATCTTCAGTTCAAGGTGAGCACTCTACCACTTGAGCCACAGCACCATTTCTGGTTTTCTGATTGTTAATTGGAGATAAAAGTCTCTTGGACTTTCCTGCCTGGGGTGGCTTTGAACCCCTATCCTCAGATCTTAGCCTCCTGAGTAGCTAGGATTACAAGCATGAGTCACTGGTGCCTGTCTTTGGACAGATATATTTTAAAGTTCACTGCTATATTAAAAAGAGTATAAAACAAATAACTTGAGGGTCTGAATGGGATTGGGACAGATGGGAAAGAATAATGGATGGGGTAATTAGGATGTACTGCACTCATAATGAGACCTGGTGATTTGAAAGCTCTTTGTACAACCATTTAATGATAATAAAAAAAAATTAAAAAGAGGCTGGGCGCCAGTGGCTCATGCCTGTAATCTTAGCTACTCAGGAGGCTGAGATCTGAGGATCGCGGTTCAAAGCCAGCTGGGGCAAGAATGTCCGTGAGAATCTTATCTCCAATAACCCACCAGAAAATTGAAGTGGTGCTGTGGCTCAAGTGGTACAGCAGTAGCCTTGAGCTGAAGAGCTGAGTGGCAGTGCCGGAAGTCCTATAAAACCAATGAGCATTAAATTATAAGCAAGATGTTATCAAGTGAATAAAAGGTATAAACATTTTTATACTAGTAGCTCATGCCCATAAACCTAGTTATTCAGGAAGCTAAGATCTGATCACCTCAGTTCCAACCCAGCCTGGGCAGACAAACCCAAATGACTCCTCTTCAATAATTGGCAAAAAGCTGAAGTGATGCTGTGGCACAGTGGTAGAGTTCTAGCCTTCAGCAAAAAAGCTAAGCAAAGAGTGTGAGGCCTGGAGTTCAAGCCCAATTTCTCCCTTTCCCTCCCTCCCTTCCCCCCCTCCCCACACACAGATATTTATACCCATTTTTCTAATGTTCCATCATCTAGATTAAATGACATTTATAAAAGACGTGACTTTCCTAAGAAAGATCCAACCACTGAGCCCCACAGTACTATCTGTCCCTGCTATAAACTATATAGCCATCTGCCTTAGACTAGGGTTCATTTTGTGTTTTTTTTTTTTCCCTCTAAATTGTTTGCTCTTTATAGAGAGGACCATCTCTCTATGCTTATTTATTTCCGTGTTTACTATCAACTTAGCAGAGTGCCTCACAGAAAACAGTTCAAGACAATTATAAACTAACTACTAATCAAACTCCTAATGCTTATAAAGCACTTTACTAAAGCACATCATATGCAGCCACTTATATAACTCAGCAAGTAATGAGCATGCTCATGAACACTGACAGGGATCTTCCAGCTTAGCAATATTGGCCTGCTTTGAACACAGTCCTTTGGGATGAAATTATATACTTTGTTCACATCATTATCAAAAAATAAAAAATACATTAATTCATTAGGTTAAAATTGTGTATTATTTAGGAGAGAATTTAGGATTTTTAGATTATGGTTTTAATAATCTTACTTTGCTCCTTCATCAGTTAACTCCCATCTCTCAGACACTTTACACTTGGCTGACTCTATTTTGGAAATAATCATCTTCATTTCATTCATTCTGTGAGAATACTAACATTTCTTCAAAGTCTATGCCAAATGCAGTCTACCATCAATCCCATGGAAAATAAAACACAGATCTAATATATTTGGCTTTGCAAAAATAAACTTCATGAGTTTCAAAATCATATTCTATTAAAAAAATGAAATCATTGCCATTTTGGCATTTTTATTGCAGAAGGAATAGATATAAGAAAATAATAGGGATGATTATTTAATCCTATTTTTCTTAATTTTAAAAAAGCAAGGCCATTAATAATAATAATGAAGAATGATGTTTTAGGCTCAAGAGAAGAAAGTAAAAACAGTATTCTAAAAGAAAGGGAAATGGAATGGGTAGACTACTGAAAATCAGCCAGGTACCATTTAAGGTTGTGCTCAAGAAGTGACTAAAAGAAGTGCATGAAATTATAGGCTGATGCCTATAAACTCATCTAATTGGGAGGCAGATACAGGGAGGACTGTAAGGCAGTCTAAAGTTAGCAAAACTCTACATCAACTAAAAAGTTAGGTGCACTGGTATGCGTAGGAATCACTGAGAGGAAGATTACAGTCTGAAACTGGCCCTGGGTTCAACATAACACTCTCCCTGAAAAACAACTAAAGAAAAAAGGGCTGGGGTCATGGTTCAAGTGATAGAGTACCTGCTTAGTAAATGTGAGGCACTGACTTCAAACCCAAGTACTACCAAAAAAACAAAGTTGACAGTGAGGCCAATCTGCTTGATTGTTTTTCTCTAGCCTATTTACCTGTGTGAGTCAGGGACAGAAGGTGGGAAATTACTGGCGTCTTCCAGGTGAAAGGGAGTAGTGTGCTCAGGGAGTGTGCAAATGATAATAGGAATGAACCATGGGATCTAAGTTAAAGGAAGGTATGGAAAAAAATAAGAGGATCAATATATTTCAAGAGGATCAATATAGTTTAGGTTTCACTGATAGAATTATTTCAGTTGGAGTTAATAAAGACAATTGTCAGATTGTGAAGCATTCAAATTTGAGAGAATGAAGGGATTATAGTGATGGTAATGAGCAGGCCCAAGGCACACATGCATGGGGAGAATTCACTGATAAATCATGGAATATAAATGGATTTTTACTTTAAATAACAGCTCATATACAGAACACACAGATTTACATTCTATAGATTTTTTTTCTTTGGAGCAAGAAGAGAAATTAAAAAATTCAGATCTTTTGGTTGGTGTTTGTTGTTGTTTTGGTGAGTGGTTCTGGGATTTGGCACTCAGGTCCTCACATTTGCTAGGCAGGCATTCTACCAGTGAGTCACAGCTGCATCCTTTCTTTGCAGTGATCATTTTGACATAGGTCTTGTGTATTTTCTGCCCAAGGTCCATGCCTGTGCCCTAAGTTGCCTATTTTATGCTTCCTATAGTAGTTAGGATATGAGGCACATACCGCCACACCCAGCTTTCATCCTTTGAGATGAAGACTCACAAAAACTTTTCTCCCCAGGCTGACCGGGAACCTTGATTCTCATGATCTCAGCCTCCTAGGTCACTGGGATAACCAGCACATGCCACCATACTCTCCGCTTCCCAAACAGGTATGATTACAGGTGTGACTCACAAGATATTTCTTAAATAGGTTGTTCCAGAAAATGTCTCAAGTAACTGTTTTTCTCAATTATACTTATGATAAAAATTAGAAAATATCATTCTAGATAAATAGGAAGATGATTCATTTCATTAATACAGTGCTGTGTTAGGATATGCATTCTCCCATGAAACCTTGGATAAGAAGGGTAGAGAAAAATGGTCTCAGAAAAAAAAATGCTCACACCATCAAAATGCTTCTACCAGATATTTTATATGTTCCTAACTACCTAAATGAGATAAGCAGATATAATAGATACAAGATAAAAGTAAGCAGAGAAGATAAAGCAGGCAAAGTATAATGTAAATATCATTGTCCTTTCCTTCCTTCCTACTTCCCCTCCTCTTTCCTTTCTTCCTCCTGACAGTGTTTCACTATGTTGCCAGACTGATTCTCAACTTCTCAGTATCTCCTCCTGGATTCCTCCTCTTCCCTCAACCTCCAGTGTCTGGGATTAGAAGCATATGACATCATGTCCAACAACTGCAATTCTCATTTTATTGATAAAGAAACAGATATATTAACTGACAGGAGTGAAATGCAGGTTATCAGGGTCCTTATCAAGGGCCTAATCTACCCTTCTATAATTTTAAGTTTTAGCAAAACCAATGTTGTCTATGAAGCCTTCCTTCCTTACAGTCTTTCACACAATGATCTTCTGCTATATTTCACTACATATATGTCTTCTCTGATCATCCACTAGGTTTAAACTCCTGGGAGAAATACAGTGTGGTTTATATAGTGTGTATATATAGGCCTTAACTCAAAAATATTAGTAAGACTGCACATAGGCTCATGCATATAATCTCAACCACTTGAGAAGTGGAAACAGGAAGAATACAGTTTGAAGACAGCCCAGGGCAAGATCTTATTGAGACTTCCATCTCAACATAACCTAAGCATGTTAGTATGCTCCTGTAATTTCAGCTGAGGGAGGAGGGTGTGAATAGGCAGAAGGATCACTGTCCCAAGCTAGTCTGTGGTGATGGAAGGGAAGCATAAGACACTACCTGAAGATAACTAAAAAGTCAAAGGGACAAGTGACAGACCACCTGCCTAGCAAATGCAAGGTTCTGAATTCAAACTTCAGTATTTCCAAAAATGTATTAGTGGAAAAAATAAAGTCAGGAAGAAAAATACAAAGATTAATCTACTAGGAATGACAAATTGGTAGGATGTAAATACTGTGCATATTTGATAATTAAAGGGAGTTATTCGGGTTGAGATAGAGACAAAATAATTAGATTCTAGAAACTGTCTTCTGAGTAAAATTTGATGCTGCAAATAGGCTTGAGGAAAAAACAGTAAGACAACACGATAGCTATTTCTAAGTGTCTTATCACATAAAAGAGAGTATTTCATGTTCTTTCAAAGGGCAGAAGAGAGTATCATCAAAAAAGTTGTAGAGAGGAGGATAATACTAATAATCCTATGAGGTAAAAGTTCTCTAGTTACTTGTTAGTCACTCTTCTTATAGGTAGTGACCACCACCAAAGGATAGAAGCAGCATTTACAGTGGAGGAAACAAGAGTGCTGTTGAGTGATTTCCTTTGAGCATCATAATCTAGCTAACACAAACCTAGTTATTATATTCTAATAAGCAAAGATAACTGAGATTCTCTTAAAAGATAGTGATTATTTAGTAAAAAGTCTAGAACACCAGACTTCTGGCTATGGCTCAAAGCACTATGTGACTTAAAAAAAATTCTATTACATTGCTACTTACATATTAATTTTGTTTTGAGAATCATTCATTCTTCTAGGATATTTTTCTTATAGAAAGACATAATACACTTCATATAATTGCCAATTTTATGGGAATTGTTCTGAGTTTTATTCAGTTTTCTATAATATATTCTATTTTCTTCTTGCAATAGAACAAAAAACATGGGCTTTTTGAGACCAGTATATTTCCTTTTCCTCTTTTTTGGAGTCAAAGTATATTGCCAATATGAAATTTACCAATGGGATGAAGATTATGATCAAGAACCAAATGAGGATTATGAACCTGAATTCCAATTTCGTCAAAATGTTGAATATGGAGTTCCTTTTTATCAGCCTACTTTAGGCTGTGCCAGAGAATGCTTTTGTCCAACTAACTTTCCATCATCTATGTACTGTGACAATCGCAAACTCAAAACTATCCCTAATATTCCGATGCACATTCAGCAAGTCTACCTTCAGTTCAATGAAATTGAAGTTGTAACTGCAAATTCACTCATTAATGCAACTCATCTTAAAGAAATTAACCTCAGCCACAACAAAATTCAAAAAGTTGATTATGGTGTATTTGCTAAGTTTTCAAATCTACTACAACTTCATCTAGAACATAACAATTTAGAAGAGTTTCCATTTCCTCTTCCGAAATCTCTGGAAAGGCTCCTTCTTGGTTACAATAAAATCTCTACACTACCACCAAATGCAATGGATGGACTAGTAAACTTGACTATGCTCGATCTCTGTCACAATCATCTTGATGACTCCACATTAAGAGAGAAAACCCTTGCCAATATGGAAAAATTAATGCAGCTCAACCTATGTAATAACAGATTGGAATCAATGCCTCCTGGATTGCCTTCTTCACTTATGTATCTATCCTTAGAAAATAATTCAATTTCTTCTATACCAGACAATTACTTTGATAAACTTCCAAAACTTCATGCTCTAAGAATGTCACACAACAAACTGCAAGATATCTTGTATGATACTTTTAATCTTTCCAACCTCATCGAGCTCAACGTCGGACACAACAAGTTGAAGCAAGCATTCTACATTCCAAGAAACTTAGAACACCTCTATCTAGAAAATAATGAAATAGAAAGTATGTATTTAATTTACTATGTTGATCCCAGGGCTTGAACTTAGGGCTTGAGAGCTGTCCATTAACTTCTTTGCTCAAGGCTAGCTCTACTACTTGAACAACTGGCTCCACTTTGGAGTTTTGGTGATTAATTGGAGATAAAGAGCTAGCTGAGCTTAAATTTCTTTCCTGCTTGAGCTGGCTTTGAACCACAGTCCTCAGATCTCAGTCTCTTGAGTAGCTAAGATTACCAGCATCCAACAAATTATTTTTAAAATATTTGATATTTAAAAGATAGAATCATTTACTGAAAGGGGCTGTTTTGAAGCTGGCTCAGGAAATGGCAGAAAATTGGTACCAGACAAAGGTCTATCATTAAGTTTATACAGTCTTTTCTATTAAATTTGACTGCCTTGAGTGCTGGAAAAAGTACTATAGAGTATGTGAAGAAATCTGAATACCTTGAGTAGTGAGATTTGGAATGTCTGTTTAAACAATCAGAAAGATAAATCCACATTTATTTAGGTAATATAAAACTCAGTTTCACTTCCTTCATTTTATTATTTAAGTAGTATAAAAATAATTCAACATAGTTCCACTTACAAGTATTTTAATGAAACTATTACATATAACATAAACCTCAACAAACTACAGACATAATAAAGGATTAATTTTTATTTGTATTTTCCAGATATCAATGTGACAATGATGTGTCCATCTGTTGACCCTTTATATGACCACCATTTAACATACCTTCGTGTGGACCAAAACAGACTGAAGGAACCAATCAGTTCATACATCTTTTCCTGTTTCCCTCATATACACACTATTTATTATGGTGAACAAAGGAGCATTGATGGTCAAATGATAGAACTGAAGACCCAAGTTTTCAGGAGATTTCAAGATGATGATTATGATGATGGGGATGATCATGAAGATCATGACAACACTCACGAGGGCCAAGCTGGGAGTGAAGAGCACTTTGACCCTCATTACTATGAAATTTAAGAATGACAAGAAACTGTATAGGTATACATTTATGATTTTATAAGAGCTCAGAATAATTTTAAATCTAATCACATATTGCTCAAAGTCATGTATCTAGAATTATGTATTAGTAAAGATTAGAGTTGCCTTTAAGTTGTTGGGCAACGATATGATTACATGGTATTAGAACTTACTTAAAATGATACAAATCCTACAAACACAAACAAGAAACACAAGTGGGAATAAAAACAAACTAAACTTTAATGCCTTCTTGCACTTTTAAAATCGAGATATTGTCATGCTGAAAAAGAAAGCAAGTGTCACTTGTAATAACAGAAATTTTCCTAGGGCAGATGAAGGGAGTTGCCTTAGCAGTGAAGGCCTGGGAACTGTGTCCTTCTGGTCATTATGAGGATGTCTGTGTAACAGAAGGGTATATCAGTATTAGGAGTGGTCATTTATTTAAGAGAAGAGTTTTCTGTGATTGTCTCCAGAAGAGCTTTCACTGTTGTATTTATGAACCCTCACCATGACATCTACCCCTTGGCTTATCACTCAAGAAGATAGAATGGTATTTATGATTTTCAAGAGGCCATCCTATTATGCATTCAAGACATATGGATTATGAAATCAAATATTCTTAATGTGTTCCATTTTTAAGTGGGATTCATTGTTTTTCACTTATAGCTAATTAAACTAGAAAATGATCTCTGCTTTAGTTATCTAAAGACCTGTTAGTAGATTGCTGCTATGTTCATAAGCCAACATTAAATTTCAAAAAATAAAGTTCTTAAAACATTATAAATTCCTTTTATTTGGGACATAATACACCAGAAGCACCTATGCTTACTAGCCAGGGTTTATTTATTAGCTTTAAGTTTGTTTGAAGGACAATATTTAACATCTCTTAAAACTTAATGGTCGCTTACATTCTTTAATCTGCCATTTTGAAGCATTTTAAGTATGCCTTAGTATGAAGAGTCTATTATGACTAACTCTCTTACTTTACCAGGCTAATAGTGAGTGAGTGAATGAGTAAGTGTATGTGTGTGTACACTGAACTCAGAGCCTGGGTGCTATCCCTGAGCTTTTTTTGCTCAAGGTTAGTACTGTACTATCGGAGCCACAGCTCCACTTCCAGCTTTTTTGAAGTTTATTGGCAATAAGTCTCAAGGAGATTCCTGCCCAGGCTGGCTTTGAACTGCAATCCATAGAGCTCAGCCTCTGGGGTTCTCCAGCTAGGGAGCCTCAAGATATATGACAACAGTTTGGTCAATATGCAATAACCAAATGTATATTTTGGAAGTATTGTTCAAGTATATGAATGAGTCTTTACTTTTCTGGAGAGGTCAGTATAAAATTGTATCTTTTTATCTTTCTTTTATCTTTGAGTTCTTTAAATATTTAAGTTAGTAGCATGAATAAGAACAGAATAGTTACCTGTCCAGAGGGACAACCTTAACAGCACAGAATGAACATGAACAAAACTCTGCTGATGCATGTAACTGGCCTCACTAAAGTAGAAGTATAGATGACTTAATGATGCATGACAGATCAAGGGCAATGTGCAACTGTGATACCATAAGGGTCAAGACTAAGAGTAAACACCAGTGGTATGAGTAAAGCACACCTTCAACAAAGACACAAAGTGTTAAAGTTCAGCTACTTTGTTTTGAAAAATTTTTTTTTAATTATTTAATTTAATTAATTTATTTTTTGGGTCTGGTCGTGGGGCCTGGGCGCTGTCCCTCAGCCCTTCAGCTCAAGGCTAGCACTCTACCACTTGAGCCACAGCGCCATTTTCTGCTCTTTTCTTTTTGCTTATGTGGTGCTGACGAATTGAACCCAGGGCCTCAGGCATGCAAGGCAAGCGCTCTACCACTGAGCCACCTTCCCAGCCCAATTATTTTATTTTTTGTTTATGTGGTACCAAGGAATCAAACCCAGGGTCTTATGTATGCTAGGCAAGCACTCTACCACTGAGCCACATTCCCAGCCCTCTTGAAAAATTTTAAGTTATAAATTCAAACATTTATGATGGGGTTAATATATAAAAAGACTGTAGGTGTTTAAGAGAGAAGAAAGTTCAGGCTAGAACAATTAAAATTTAATGAAAAGCCATCAGGGAAATGTAAATTAAGCTAGAGTTAAGCATGCACCAGCAATTCTACTTTCAAGTATATACTCAAGTGCTCCAAAAAAGAAACCACCCAACTGTCTATTAACAGATGAATGGACAGAATGTGGAGATAAAAAGTAACAAAACATTGATACACGCTTCAACTTGAAGGAACCTTGAGAACATGCTCAGTCAGTTAAAGTCAGCAATAGGATCCTGATCCTATGACTCCATTTATAGGTATATTCAGACAAGGCAATTTGTATACAAAAAGAGTACTATCTGTGTAGGCTGGGGAGGTAAGGGAATTTGTAAAAACAGGGAGTGACTATATTCTTCAAAAGGATGAATTGTACTCAGTGTCAATTAGCTGAAGAAAGCAGATATTTAAGTATCTAACAAAGAAGAATAAACAATTTATCCTAACATAAGAAGTCATAACAGAATGCAGTCAGTATCTCTGAGTTTCTCCCAATATTTTACTCAGATAAAAGACTGATACACAAGAGAGACTTTACTAGGAGTTGTCTTAAAGTGCTTAAAGCCTATACCTACTACAAAGTACCCTTCAGTAGGGCCTAGCAGGATAAGGTTGCAGGCTTTCCTCCAGCTTCCAAACCAGAATGTTCCTCTGCTTCACAGGCAGTCAGATTTCTCCTATTATATAGGTTCTTCCCTGGAAAGGGTATACATAAACTGAATCACAAACTACTGTCCAGTTCAAGGCTCAAAGAGGAAAAAGGTTAATAACCTTACTTTGTTTTTCAAAAATGCCCTGATGAACTCAGATCCACCCAAGTGTTTCTCACAAAATATAAAAATGAAAGCCTGATTACCAACTGCAGACAACTCTAATACATTTGATAAGGTTTACCATAACCACCAGCCCATTCCTTCTGTAGCTCAGGAGAGCACCCTCCCACCCCATCTGCTTGCAATAAGCCTGTAATCTGTGCTTTTGCTGCAGTTCTTTGGGCCCCATGTTTCCCTTATTCTCCTCCAAGTCTAGCTCGATTGCAGAGTTAAGTTTATGAGTATGAATAAAAACTAAACAGCAACAATAAAAAATAAAACCCTAAATGATTTTTCAGGGAAAAACTGAAGAACATAACAGTATATCAAGATGACACAGTTACTTGTAACAGAACTACAGACTAGGCCAGTTGACTTGATATAAACAGAAAATAAAATCATGATAATCTAATAAATTTTCTCACTAGTCTCATTACACCGCAATTATATTAATAGGCTACATTGTTTATAAGTATTCACAAAATACAAATCAAATCATACCATAAAATGTAAATCTAAGCTTAATCAAACAAACATGTATCAAACAACACATTTAGCTTTTAGAAAGGAAATAAAATATAGGATCCTTCATAAATTTGCTAGTGGAGAATGTTTGATCTGTGTTTAGTACCCCAAAACACTACATATACAGTTTTACTTTATTCCTCATGCATGGAACTAAAATACAGATGTATGCAAATAACGAAACAGACCTAACTGGCTTCACAGGGGGGGAAAAGCAAGGAGAACAAATAAGCCTTGTCTCTTCTATATGCGTTTCCTCTTGCAAAGAAATTCATACATCCCCAAGGACAGCTGGAACGAAAACCCTGGTTTCCGGACTCTAAATCCATTTTTTATAAATCTTGGAAAGTATAACAGCAGCTGGAAACAAAATTAAATCATAACATCTACAATTCCAGCATTCCTTTTATGTTCTAGTTTGCTCAATAAATATAAATCTGCCTAGTTTTAAGCTAATTGTGCTTGTTAGCTAGGACTAACGGCTAAGATATAAGTATCACATCACGAACACATTTTTTAATCACTTCATATAGTTCAGTGATAAACTCATTATAGAGATTTAGCACTAAAAGGAAAACTGAATTCACAAAATACATTTCTACCATGAATTCTATTTTATAGAGTCATAATTCCCCTCCTTTTTAAGTAGTTATATAAAGCAATTGCCATTTAACAAAGCAGTTTACAAATACAATGCATCTTGATCAATAATCACCCTTTTCACTCTTCAGTCTGTAAAGTACTTAAGTTCTCATCTTTCTCATGTGGACAATGATCAGTGTTCAAGGATAAGCATGAGATTAAAGATGAAGATTCAAGGCTGGGCACCAATAGGTCACATCTATAATCCTAGCTACTTCGGAGGATCACAGCTCAAGACCAGACCTGACAGAATGTTCATAAAAGCCCCATCTCAATCAATACCTGGGTGCAAGGGCAAATATTTGTCATCCCAACTAAAATTACATAGGAGGCTAAGATCAGAAGGGAAATCAGGGTTTCAGATCAGCTTGAGCAAAAAATTTCAAGAGTCCCCATTCTCAACAGAAAAATCTAGATGTGGTGATACACACTTGTCATCCCTGATATGGCAGGAAGCATAAATAGGCCCAGATAGTCTGCACTGTGAACCTCCTATTTATGTCTGAGACCATCTCAAAACTAACAAGAACACTGGGTTGAGGGAGCTGCCTACCAAATGAAAGGCCTGGAGTTCAAACTCTAGCATTGGCATTGCATAATTAATTCCTTTAAAAAAAGGCAGTAAAAATTTGGGCACCGGTGGCTCACACCTGTAATCCTAGCTACTCAGGAGGCTGAGACCTGGGAATCATGGTTTGAAGCCAGCCTGGGCAGAAAAGTCTGTGAGACTCTTTTTTTTTAAATTTTAATTTTTATTTTTATTGTGAAAATACTGTACAGAGGGGTTACAATTACATGGGCAAGATAATGAGTACATTTCTTATCAAGTATTGTAGCCTCCTCCTTTGTTCCCCTTCCCATCCTCCTCCTGCCCCCCAACCCAATCCTCCTCCCACCCCCCACAATGTGAGACTCTTTATCTCCAATTAAATCACAGAAAAAACTGGAAGTGGCACTGTGGCTCAAGTAGTAAAGTGCTAGCTTGAGCAAAAAGGAGCTCAGGGACAATGCCCAGGCAGAGTTTAAGCCTCAGGACCAATAAAAAGTGCTAGAGGCATGGCTTAACCAGTAAAATGCCTGCCTAGCAAGCATAAAGCCCTAGTTCAAACTCCAGTACTGCAAATTAATAAACAAAAGGCTTTAAATTATAGGGTTGTCATAAAAGCTTAGAATGTTTGATTCTAAAGGTTATAATAAGTATCTAGTCACTCAGTAGTTCACAAAAGGGACAACTCTGACTCTGAGTCCTAATGTTTGAGGCTTAAAAAAAACCACAAAAACAGGGATATTGTCACAACAAAGAATTGTCAGGTCTGGTACACCAATAGTGCAGAGGCTGAGAGATTGTGACTAGATTACAGTTCAACAAGTAAGAAAAAGGCCTAAGAAAGTTAAAGAACTGAGAATACATCAAGAATCCAATCTATATCCTACAAAATTAAGAGTGAGGGAAGGTATAAGTTGGGGAAGGATGGGGAGAATGCTGAAAGGGGTGACATTGATCTCAAGATATATTATATTCAGGGGCTGGGAAGGTGGCTCAGTGGTAGAGCGCTTGCCTTGCATGCATGAGGCCCTGGGTTCGATTCCTCAGCACCACATAAGCAAAAAAGAAAAAAACCGGAAGTGGAACTGTGGCTCAAGTGGTAGAGTGCTAGACTTGAGCTGAAGAGCTGAGGGACAGCACCCAGGCCCAGAATTCAGGCCCCATGACCAGACCAAAAAAAAAAAAAAGATATATTAAATTCATAAACTGCTTGGTTAAATGGCAACTCCACTATACAACTAAAGACTACACACACACAGTTAAGGAACTTCTACAAGATCAAATGAAAGTTAATTATAGAATCACAATGGAAAGTTACCTATTCTGACTCCTAATCCATACTATTTCCTATACAGTGAGAGGAAGTTCTAGCTCATATCCTTGATCTCTATTAGTATAACTAAAACATCTCCAAAAATACTAATTCCTATAAAATCTTTGTTGTAAGACTCAATTTCACTCAATACATTTTTGTTTCCAACTGCTGAGAAGCAATGAAATGGAAGAACACAGACCAAAGAAAAATCTGAGAAAAAAATAAATGCCCTACCAGATATCAAGGTTATATAATGCAACAAGGTCACCTAAAAGAATTCCACAAAGAAAATTCTTTCAAGTTAGATACAATGTCTGCTCCACAGCTATTAGGCAGACTTCATCTTTTATTCCTGGAAAGGGAAACTTAAGTGGCTTTATACTAGAATGTAACATTTTGTTCTGGGATGGAAACCAAACTCAGTTTCAAACATTTCCCATCTGGAACTGGGCACTGTATTTAAAGGCTGCTTCAGCATAGAGGTAAAGTTTTGCCTTATCTCTTGAGGGCAATCTATGTCATTCCTGGTAGGACTATGTTTCTTTCAGGCACTACAGGGTAATTTTATAGTTTGGGGGTTGTAATAGCCATTTCACTGACTATCCAGGTGATTTAGGATGAGGCACTGGGTTTGACCTGGGGCTGAATTCACCTTTGTGGACAACTTAGCTTTCCTTATAATCTGTTCCTTTGGCTAACTCTGATGTTTATCCTTTCCCTGTGCAAGCCATATTTATGAGTCTAGTAGCCTTCTGTGAGTTCGAGAGAGTTATCTCATGTGAGTATCATTTGAACTTATAAATGGTATCTGAAATGAGAATGGTCTTCACTTTGAGGGAGTGTGCCCTCCATTATAGTTTGGCTGATTCTAAGGAAGAATAAAGATTTGCTATTTCCTAGTGTAACTGTGGACAATTCTAGATTCTTCCCTGTATAATCACCTCCCCAATCCACTAAGGATGCACCCTGAGAGTCTCTTCCAACCAACAGAAAATGACAAGGGTGACAACATACATATGATAGGTATAAGTTGACAGTAAAAAGATTATGACCCATCTTGCTCAAAGATGACCCCTTTCTCTGGCTTTGAAGCAAGCTACCCTATAAAGGAAGTCTCATTGCAAGGAACTGAGGGAAACATTCAGCGAACAGACAGTAAAAAAACAAACCACATATTGCAAAGATCCAACACTATCAATAACCACACAGGTTCTACTCAATCCCAGTGTAGCTGTGGACAAAACCAACAATCCTAAATTAGAGAATATCATAATTAAATAATCCACATTCAAGCAAGAACTAGATGCTCAAGACAGCATGTGGTGCATGCCTATAATCTCCATACTTGGGAGGCTGAGGCAGTATGATTTTTATTCAAAGCCAGTCTGGGTTATATGAGATCTTCCTCTACAGGGGGAGAGGAGGAGAAAAAAGAACAAGAAAAAGGACAAGAAAGAAATATTGAACATTCAAGTCTTAATTTGTCTAAACTTTGATTTGAAAGGTTCAAAACCCTAATTTTGACTTGAAAAAAAATTGGTGCTCTTTTGTTTTGTGCTAGTCCTGGGGCTTGAACTCAGGGACTGGGCACTGTCCCTGAGCTTTCATGCTCAAGGCTAACACTCTACCACTTGAGCCACAGCTCCACTTCTGGCTTTTTGGGGGTTAACTGGAGGTAAGAGTATCATGACTTTCCTGCCCAGGTGGGCCTTGAATCATGATCCTCAAATCTCTACTTGCTATGTAGCTAGGATTTCAAGCATGAGCTTTGGTGTTCATTTTAAATTATTTCTTAAACTTTATTTTGGAGAAGTAAAAACTTTGATAAAAAAGCAATTGAAGAATAAAAATGTGATTTATTTTAAATTTGAGACTGTTTTACTAAGGTAGCCCAGCCTGGCCTTGAAATTGTTTTCTTTATTAAACTCCCAAGGCTTGTGGCTAGCACCAAGTAAATAATTTATTAAAAGTGAATCTTTAAACATCTCTACAAAGTACTAACTTTAATGTTTAAAATTCAAACTGAAAATTTTTATACAGTTGCAAAATTATCTTTTTACTGCCAATTGCAATATTATAAGTCAAATAAAAGTCTCATTCGTGTGTGCTGGTACTAGGACTTGAATTCAGGGTATCATGTTCTTGCTTGGCATTTTTTGCCCTAGGATGGCACTCTTCCACTATCACATCTCCACTTCCCAAACTTATTTTTGTAAGCTATTTCTTATACTTTAGTTTTAAAGGTAATGAAAATCAAGAGGTTACAGGATGAAACCCTAAAATAATTTATACTAAAATTCTTATATTGGAAATTTCGGTCTACATGTTAATTACAGTGTTAGGACAAAATCTTTAGTCCTCATAAAATTAAGAGCTTTGGTTTGGTGCTGTATTTCATTCAAAAATGAATGTTTTGAAGGTTTTTCCAGGATGTTTTATATCCTGCAAAAGCACCAAAGTGAAAGCATTATAACGATGTCATTTTCATAAACAAATCTCTAAAAGATTATTGCTTATGAATAAGGTGAAAAGGACAGGGGATTTTAATCGGCGAGGCAGCTGGAGTGCAGTGGTTTCAAACCTCTTCAGCACAGTTCTCCAGTACAACACCCTGTGTTTCACCCTAGAGAAGGAATGTTGGCAAAGAACTCTACCACAAGGAAAGTGCTCTTAAAGCTGTTGGGCCCTGAAATTTTATTCAGTAGTTTGAAAGAAATCCTTAACTTTCCTCATTCATCCTCCCACTTGGAGCTAATGTACGGGCATGAACACCTAATGAAGAAAATTACACAAAAACCTTCAAAACACCTTCAATGGTAGGCTCATTTTCCACACTATTTTCAATAGTCTTTGTTAAAGTGTGACAATTCTAGAAGTCTTGCTAAACGTAAAGCCTTCCGAGACCTTGAACAATTAAATTTTAACAAGCACTTTCAGGTATCATTTGTACCTTTAACATTGATGCAGGTAAAAAAAAAATACAAGCTGCCAAAGTCACAAGTCTACTTTATCCTTAAAATTTCAACATCTGGATTTCTGATAAATTGGCATCTATAACGCAGCACAAGCAATTCTGGGTGATTCTGTTTGAAGTATAGAAAAAGGATGAAATGTGTCCATATCTCAGATAAAATGCACTAGTGAGCCTAAGAGAATTATTTCCTGTACATTTCTCCTTTAAAGTTCTAAATTTCCTTTAGTTTGCAATATTATTTTTTACATAGTTTAAAAGAGCAAGACTTAATCAAAAGTAGTGGTAACCTGTTACATTTTTTAAAAAAACTAGAAAATTAGGGGGGAGAACTGATTTGGTGAATGGTAACTCCTTTGTACAACTCCTTCTAGATAATAAAAATATAACTAAAAAAAGAACATTAAACATGACTTTTCCTGTATTTCACCTTAAAGTGTTAGTGACTATTTTTCATGATGTTTAACTTAAGGTTCAAGTTATAAAGTTATAAAACTTCTCCTAGAACTTGCTTTTTCACACCAACACAAATCAAGAAGTTTTTATAAAGCAGTAAAGTTGAAATATGATATTTTTAACTCACATGAGACAGGATCTTCATTTTAACTATTTATACTACAGGTATTCAAAGATTTCAATTACATATTAGTACTTATATACAGGCACTTAATTATTAAGAAACTCAAATTATTAACATAGCTTGTATTTTTTATTAGATAAAAAAAACTTCCTGAACAATTTTTGGTAGGTTCACTGATACATGAAAACTGATGTTATCTAATTAAAGATCACAAAGGGTTAAATACTTGTTCCCTGGCCCCTACTTCGTACAGTGTGCCAAAACGTCCTCAAAGGTTTTAAATATTGCTTCCATGGTCTGAATTTTTATTTCCAAGGAGAAGAGTTTTATCCCATAGTCAGCAGGCCATTGGTTTAGTAACTTTCAGTCAGCTTGATTTCTGTGGAAATGAAGAGTATGCATTCGACACTTCTCCTGTTACTTTTCCTGCCTTTGACAGAACCAGCACCACAAGCTCAGCAGGACGTACCCTCTACCTTTGAGTATGGGACAGATCATTTTGAAGAAAATATATTTAGTCAAGATTATGAAGATAAATACCTGGATGAAAAAAGAATTAAGGTACTTTATTTCTACTTTAAGTTTACCTTCTAAAATGGTACTCATTTAAATGTATGTTTTTAAGTTTTCCTGATTGTATTTGATAAGGTAAGGAGAAAAGAAAAGCAATTTAATACTGAAAGTAACTCATAATAATTATCCTTAAGATTATACTTTTCAAGCATGCATGTTTCCTAAATTAACAAAGACTACCTAGGGTAACCAAACAGCTACAGTAACCAAAAATAAAACAAGAGAAACTAGGCTAGATTCCTTGATGAATTGCAATTCATATGTTAACTGTTACAGAAATTTCTGTAGTTGCATACTGATACTGTTTCAAATATAAATTAGGAGAAATTAAGATAAATTATCTGCTAAAGGGTTTAGTTTATTTTAGAAAAATATGGCTCAAAGAAATAAATACAAGAGTAGTAGCTATGCCAAATACCCACAGTACCAGAAATTAAAACTGCTTAATATTGGACATCCTTTTAAATCAGTTTTAACACTTTCAATGCTTTACCAATTTGCAACAAGGATCTGTAACTGTCAGTGAGTTAACACCCAGTAAGGATGTAAGGATGACTTTTATGCAACAGGATTCACATCCCATCACTATGAACAAAGTAATTACTTGTGGTTTCCTTGGCCAAAGAAATGAATTCTGGTTAGGAAAAAATTAACATAGCACAAAACTATTTGTGGCCCACTGTGTGTCATACAGACACACATTCCACTAAAAAATGAGAAGTGTATCCAAATATTTAACAATATTCATTGTTTCAAAAGTTCTTCTCCATTATAGTGAAGATTTTTAAGATCACAAGACACTATGTTGGAAATGAACTTTACAAGCTGGGGAGGGGAATCTGAGAGGAAGGAAAATGGGAGAAAAACAATGTACTCATTACCTTATGTATGTAACTCTAATCCCTCTGTATATCACCTTGACAATAAAATTAAATTTAAAAAAAGATTTTTAAGATGCACTAGTTAAAATTACTTCTTTTCTCAGCACACAATGAACATATGTTAACAGCAGTTTTTATTTTGTTCCAATAGAGGAAGTTAATATGCTGGATTATAAACTGATTACAACAAGAAAGACAGGCCACAGAATCAAACAAACAAATAATAAAAGAACAATTCTATTACAAAATAAGTGATTATCTCACTTGGATGATTTGACTATCGATCAATTACAAGAACACTTTCAAAATTCTCTGATACTTAAAAATTTAGAAATAACTTTCTCTGCTTCTTACATTTATAGGACTTTAGCAGTTTTTCTATCTTAATATAAATGTATAGACTGATATTTGTGTAATAGAGAATTCAGTGGGACAATGAGTGGGAAGGATGGTCAGCCTGCATTCAGATGGGCAAAGGCTACAGACAAGATCAAGTAGAGCAAGCTTACAAAGGATGAAAAGAACACTACTGCAAGTAATAAGCTATAGTCTAATGGAAGAAAACACACTGAAAACAGGAGAGAGGATAAGTGATAAGGATGCCAATTCTCCAGAGCTAGAAGCCTAAACACTAGTGACCTGAGGGGTACCCTGTGTATTGTATATACATTTATCTGAATTAGGGAGGGGGAACAACAAAATGGTGAGACAAAGGACAAAGGAGGAACCAATGCAACAGTGATACAAGAAAATATGTTGAAAATGAACTTTACAACTTGGCGGGGGAGGGGGTGGTTAGTGGGGAAGAGCAAGTGGGAGAAAAACCAGGAAGGGGGTAACAGTGTTCGACAAGAAATGTACTCAATACCTTACGTATGTAACTGTAACCTCTCTGTACATCATCTTGACAACAAAATTAAAATATTTTTTAAAAGGCAGGGGCTGAGGGGAATGTGGGAAGGGGCTCCATATTGGATGTGGAAGCACATACTTGAAATCCCAGCTACACAGGAGATGGATAGAAGGATCATGGTTTGAGGCCTGCTCACATTAAAAGAAAAACTTTTTAAAGCTAGGCATGGTGTAAGCTGAGCCTACCCAAGAGGTGAAGGCAGGATTGTAGTTGGAAGCTCTTGGGCAAAAGTCCAAGACCCTATCTAAAAAATAAAGCAAAAGGATTGGGGGCATTGCTCAAATGGTACAGTGCTTCCTTAGCAAGTGGGAGGTCCTGAATTCAACCCCCTAGTACCACCCAAAAGAACAAACAAAACAAAACCCTCCATGGAGGAATGTAGGTAACTAAAATGTCACCTCAGGAAGAAACAGAGCTTTCTGAGTCATTTACCATGGAACATACTAAAGTCCTAGAGTTCCCTATAGGGGAATTAATTCAAACCAGAATCACATGAAAGTTTCACCTCAGAAAACTTTATTACCATTCTGATAATTCTTTTTTTTTTTTTGTTTTTTCAGTTGTGGGGCATGAACTCTGGGCCTGGGCACTGTCCCTCAGCTCTTCAGCTCAAGGCAAGCGCGCTACCACTTGAGCCACAGAGCCACTTCCCCATTCTGATAATTCTTTACTAACTCCCATTTGGAATTTCAGCATGGTCAATAGTTACCAAGTACACCACATACACACACACACACACATACATACATATATACACACATACACACAAACACACAATTGTTATTTTACTCAGGGAGATCACAGTCTTGAATAAAATCATACTTACACTGAAATAATGTACAACATCCTAATGGAGCACAAAAGAAATGCTACCAAGGGGCTGGGAAGGTGGCTCAGTGGTAGAGCGCTTGCCTTGCATGCGTGAGGCCCTGGGTTCGATTCCTCAGCACCACATAAGCAAAAAGAAAAAAGCCGGAAGTGGTGCTGTGGCTCAAGTGGTAGAGTGCTAGACTTGAGCTGAAGAGCTGAGGGACAGCACCCAGGCCCAGAGTTCAGACCCCACGACCGGACCCAAAAAAAAAAAAAGAAAGAAAGAAAGAAATGCTACCAATTATGACTAAGAGACTTATGACTACAATGTTGACTATAACTTATGACTATAATGTTGATTATGGTGCCACAGGTTGCAGTCTTACAGATGTTATCATACCTAATAACAGACTTATTTTTTCAACAGGAAAAAGAAACATTGATAGTACATGATGAGAAAAGTTTTCAGTTACAAAAAGATGAGGCTATAATGCCACTATCCCCCAACAAAGGAAATGATGGTAAGTATGAATATATCATTGAATTTTTTTCTTTTTTCTTTTTGGTCAGTTGTGGGGCTTGAATTCTGGGCCTGCGCGCTGTCCCTGAGCTCTTCAGTTCAAGGCGAGCACTCTACCACTTGAACCACAGTGCCACTTTCAGTTTTCTGGTGGTTAACTGGAAATAAGAGTCTCACAGACTTTCCTGACCAGGCTGGCTTTGAACACCTGCAATCCTCAGATCTCAGCCTCCTGAGTAGCTAGGATTACAGGTGTAAGCCACCAGTCCTGGCTCACTGAATTATTTTTAAGAGAATGTTTTAAAAATAGCTATAATAGAACTTTATTTCTTCTATTTCAAAAGTCACCTCAATAATAAATCCAAACTGGAAGTTTATCTCCAATGGTAAAGTCAAAATATTTGGGAAGGTACAATACTTGCCATCCCACATTATGAGAAAAAAAATGTAAAACAGAAAATTCAGGAACCAAGGCTAGCTGGGTGCTGATGGCTCATGGCTGTAATCCTAGCTACTCAGGAGGCTAAGATCTGAGGATCGTGGTTCGAAGCCAGCCTAGGCAGTAAAGTCCATGAGACTCTCATCTCCAGTTAACCACCAGAAAAACAGAAGTGGTGCTGTGGCTCAAAGTGGTAGAGCACTCACCTTGAGCTGAAGAGCTCAGGGACAGTGCCCAGGACCAGAGTTCAAGTCCCACAACAGGTAGGCAAAAAAGAAAAAAAAAATGAACCAAGGCTAACTTGAGAAGATGGGGCTGGGAGAAATGGTAGAGAATGATCAGAGGGGTGACACTGATCAAAATGTACTGTACTGCCAGGTGCTTCTGGCTCACACCTATAATCCTGGCTACTCAAGAGGCTGAGATCTGAGGATTGCAGTGCAAAGCCAGCCCAAGCAGAAAGTTTGTGAGATTCGTATCTCTAGCCAGTGAAAATCATACACTAATTTATATATTGCTACAATAAAATTTAAATGCACCACAACAAAAAATAGATTTTTTAAAATTTTGTTCAACTAGGGATTCAGACCTTATGCATGCTAGGCAAGCAAACTACCAGTTGAGGCATTCCATCAGCCACTTCTGAAGTTACTTTTTTTTTTTTATAGTTTTTTAATTGTTATTATAAAGGGGATTGGTTATTTTCAAGATAGGGTCTTAGCTTTATGCCTGGGCCAGCCTACACTGTGATCTTATTTGTGATCTTTATCCTTGTGCTTCCCTTATAGCTTGACAGGTACTCACCACCAAACCCGGTCATTCACTGAAATGGAGTCTTGCCAACTTTTATATTTGGCCTGGCCTCAACAGCAATCCCCTGATCTTTGCCTCCCAAATCAAATTTTGTTTTTTTCAGACAGGATCTCACTAACTTTGCTAGAGCTATCCTCAAACTCCTCATCCTCCTGCCTTCACTTCCAAGTAGTTAGGATTATAGGTATATGCCACTACACCCATCCAAAAATTCCATCTTAAAAAATTAGAAGCAACTGAGAGAGAATGAAGGGGTGACCTTGTCCAATAAGAAATGTACTCATCTGACTTATAAAACTGTAATTCTTTTGTACATCACTTTTATAACAACAATTTAAAAATTTTAAAAAAATGAGAAGCAATTTTGTAAAAACAGAAAAATATCACTTGTTCTTGAGCAGAATAGCTTAAAATCATGAAGATGTTAGTTATTTCTAAGTTTATAAATTTTACACAACCCCACTAAAATTACCAATTAATTTTTATAAAACTAGAAAAATGAGCCGGGCGCTGGTGGCTCACGCCTGTAATCCTAGCTACTCAGGAGGCTGAGATCTGAGGATCACGGTTCAAAGCCTGCCCAGGCAGGAGAGACCTTGAGACTCCTATCTCCAATAAACCACCAGAAAACCAGAAGTGTCGCTGTAGCTCAAGTGGTAGAGCGCTCGCCTTGAGCTGAAGAGCTGAGGGACAGCGCCCAGGCCCAGAGTTCAAGCCCCATGACCGACAAAAAAAAAAAAAAAACTAGAAAAATGGATTGCAAAGTTCATATGGAGAAAACATGCACAAATAGGGAAACGCTGAACAATACCAGATATAAGCAAGAGCTAGAAACATATACTTTTTAAAGTGTATGGCTCATGCCTATAATCCTAGCTACTCAGGAGGCTGAGGATCATGGTTCAAAGCCAGCCCTGACAGAAAAGTCCCCATGATACTCTTAGGTCCAATTATCCACTCAAAAACTGGAAGTGGTACTGTAATTCAAATGGTAGATCACTAACCTGGAGCACAGAGAGGCTCAGGGACACCACCCAGGCCCTGAGTTCAAGCCCCATGACCAACCAAAATAAAAAGAAGGAGGAGGAGGAGGAGGAGGAATAGGAGGACGAGGAGGAGGAGGAGGAGAAGGAGTTCATAGTAAAAAGACCAATAGAATAGACAGTAAAAAGACAGAAATACTTCTAGAAATTCAGTGAATAAGTAGCTCAAACCACTGAAGTAAAACTGCTATTTTTTAAAACCAGGAATGGGAGAAATGAGTAGCAATTTGATTAATACTTTACATGGAATAATAAATTGCAAATAGATTGGGTCACAACATATAAAAATAAAGCTATATAATTATTAGAAAACAGCTTGAAAGTTAGAAGTACCTCAAACTTAGAAGTGTTAATAGAAAAGGTCAGAGCTGGGAAGGTGCCTTGCATGCATGAGGCCCTGGGTTTGATTCCTCAGCACCACATAAGCAGAAAAAGCCAGAAGTGGTGCTGTGGCTCAAGTGGTAGAGCATTAGTCTTGAGCTCAAGAGCTGAGGGACAGTGCTCAGGCCCGTGTTTCAGGCTGCACGACCGACCAAAAAAAACAAACAAACAAACATATATATATATATATATATATGCATATATATATGCACACATACATTTTATATATAGAAAAGATCAATAATTTGACTCCATGAAAGTAAACTTGAAAAAAAAAGAAAAGCAAACTTGCACATGGCAAAAAAAAAGTATGAGGTGACTCACATCTGCAATCCTAGCTACTCAGGAGGCTAAGATCAAGGTAAAGTCAAAATATTTGGGAAGGTACAATATTTGCCATCCCACATTATGAGAAAAAAAATGTAAAACAGAAAATTCAGGAACTAAGGCTAGCTGGGTGCCGATGGCTCATGGCTGTAATCCTAGCTACTCAGGAGGCTAAGATCTGAGGATCGTGGTTCGAAGCCAGCCTAGGCAGTAAAGTCCATGAGACTCTCATCTCCAGTTAACCACCAGAAAAACAGAAGTGGTGCTGTGGCTCAAAGTGGTAGAGCACTCACCTTGAGCTGAAGAGCTCAGGGACAGTGCCCAGGACCAGAGTTCAAGTCCCACAACAGGTAGGCAAAAAAAAAAACTGGGCAAAAAGCAAGTGAGAGCACATCTCAACAAAAAAGCTGAGTGTGATGGTGTGCACCCTCATTCCAGCTACAGTAGGCAGTGTAAACCGAAGGATTATGGTTGAGGACAGCTGTGGGGTGGTGGGTAGGGGTGGGAAGCAAGATTCCATCTCAAAAACAAGCAGAACAATAAACACTGGAAGGAAGGCTAAAAATTTAGAGCACCTATATAGCAAGTGTGAGGCCTTGAGTTCAGCCTCACCCCAAAAAAAAAATCCTAAAAGGACAACCTAGACTGGGAAAAATAATTTACAAAATATAAAGAACTGCTTGGTTTTTTTTTGGGGGGGGGGAGGGGTCCGGTCATGGGGCCTGGACACTGTCCCTCAGCTCTTCAGCTCAAGGCTAGCGCTCTACCACTTGAGCCACAGCGCCACTTCCGGCTTTTTTAAACTTTTTGCTTATGTGGTGCTGAGGAATCGAACCCAGGGCCTCAGGCATGCAAGGCAAGCACTCTACCACTGAGCCACTTTCCCAGCCCTGCTTGGTTTTTTTGTTTTGGGTTTTTTGTTTTGTTTTTTGGTGCCTGTCCTGGGGCTTGCTGTTCCTGAGCTTTTGTGCTCAAGGCTAGTAGGTCTACCACTTGGCCACAGCTCTACTTTCGGCTTTCTAGGTTTCTTCTTGTTACAGAAAAGCATTTATAAATACAGAAAGGCAAAGGGCTGGACACTGTGACAGCGGACTAGAAACAAAGATATCAGTATTAGCTCATAGTTTTGTATACATAGAGGTAAAGTACTTTAGATAAGTTTTGTTTTTTCCCCTCTGAATTGTGTCGTGCATGTGAATATGGTATATATGGGTCTCTATGAGTAAGTAGTATTCATGTAATGAATATAGTGTATGTTTATATATATATATGTTACACAAACGTTTATCATTTATGGAGAAAGAAAAAAAACACACATTTTATTTCCTACCCTTAACTGGGAACCTAGAAGCAATGAGATTCCATCAGTAATGAGCATGTTCAGTATCTATAATTCTCTGCTTAAAGGAATCAGGGGTTTTTGAGAAGGTAGCCAATTGGGTTGGGTCAGGAAAAATGAAAGACTGAAAAATTGATCTGGTATATCTTGAAATGCTGAAAGTATAAGCATTTCTCAAAGAAAAACAATAATCTTAAAAAATACTTTTAATCCTGTTAGAATCAGAAATCGATCATCCCATCCTTGTGATATAAAGCAGTGCTGGAGGTTTAATCTCATCGTCTTCCATCACTTATCCAACCAGTGACAGCTTTCTGGAGTCCAGTAAGCAAAAAACAAAAGGTCTAGTACAGTTGTCTAATTTACTTGATATTATCTATAGTTAAATTACTTTTACTTTAATTGAATTATCCTTTCTCTTTGACTTTATTTAATATATATTTGACATTGTTCCCATATATAGTGCAAAGGGTAGAATAAGAATACTTTCTGTGAAAAAAAGTTTTTCAAAAATAGTTATTAAGAGCTGGGTGCCAGTAGCTCACACCTGTAATCCTAGCCACTCAGGAGGCTAAGATCTGAGGATAGTGGTTCAAAGATAGCCAGAGCAGAAGAGTCCTCGTGAGACTCTTATCTCCAATGAACCACTAAAACCTGGA